AAGCGCTTACAGTGAACGAAAATCAAAATTACATAAATACTTATAATAAGAAAAACAGTCTTACAACTACAAACTGCAAAAAAGATGTGTTTTTAAGGCGTTTCTGAAGGTAATAACTGATGGAGACTGCCTACATTGTAATTCTAAGTGGTAGATCATTTCAGTAGTTTGAAGCAGATACAGTAAATGTCCTATCACCGGCTAATGTGAGAGTAAACTGAATATGTTAGACGGAGAGGATCCCTGGCTGACCTCAATGCCTCATTTAAAATAATTTGTCAGCAAACTCATCGACTATGGGGTCAATACCTCAACATTTTGCAGTTTTCTGACTGGTCGCACCCAATCTGGAGGTGAGTGATGTCATTTCAAAAGCAAGAACCCTTTATACTTTTGGCCTGTACCAGGGAAAAAAAATGGGGCCGTAAATGACAAATTACCCAGATCACTGGGAATATATTGATGACATGAGCACCTTAGATATTCATTGTGATGCTGATCCTTCACTGTTGCAAACAATACTTGATCACTTTGAGGAATGGTGCTGATTAAATGATATGAAACCAAATCCGACCAAGAAAAGGAATGCAAGAACCTCCGAGCCCGACCCCACCCCCCTTCGCAACATCATTCTTCTAGATCTACTCCTGATATCAAGCCCCAGATAAACTTGAGATGAATCCCAAAGGGCTGAATTCACAAAGGAGGTTTAAATTTAACCCATGGTTCAATTTACATAACCCATGGTTTAAAATTAGCGCAAATTAAGTGCGACACAGGCAGAGGTCAAATAATAGATGCGGCAAGGCAAGGTACGCTTACTTTGCGCTAAGTTTAAACCATGGGTTATTTGAGGGTTAAGTTTAAAACTCCTCTGTGAATTCCGGCCAAAGGAAACCACACACACTGAATGTGAATGAATTCAACTCTATTACAATTTATGATTATAATGAAAAGAATGCAGACACTTCTGCATACAGCATCATGTACAATTATAATTTTTGCATCAAAATGTTTATTTTACAGTTATAAAATGCCTCCAAATATGAAATATTCATGAATGAACCCTATAAATAGGGCTCGTGTGCGGTGGAAGCCATCTTTTCCTTTGTGCCCTGGCAGTGAGGACTTCATTTTTGTTGACATGCAGACGGAGGAGATTTTCGAATCGGAGGCTGATGAGTTGACGGGAGCCAAATAAGCTGGTTTTCTATAGGGCAAGCTCGCTTCCTCGCTGCACAGTCCGAGGATCTCAAGAAACTCTCATCAACCATGTCTCAATTTATGGACGTTTTGTCCACAAACAAGAATACAGAGACAGCCTTTATTATGAGAAGCATGGGGAGATGTGAGTTGGTTTAGCAACACGTTCACTTGGTCAGCTTTCTGTCTTCGCCTACAAACTAACTCAGGCGACCCCAGTTCGAAACCGAGTCATGTCTTTTGGGTGGTGACGTAAAAGGTCGGTCCCCAGACGTAAATAATCATATCTGATTGATATTTGATACACGTCTGTAAAACACACACAATGCACCTGTTTTAAACAGGGCCAAAGGTAATTTACTGAGTACTTTTGCAGACAAAAAGTTCTGTCTATCAACAAGCAGGGCAGAAAGCTATGATCCAGAGTTGGATTTGAAGACCAGTGTAATGAAGTCAAATGCAAATTCAAGCTTCATTTCAGAAGAATATGACCTATATCAAGGCACAAATGATCTCAGACCTCTGGTCTTTGATAGCCTAGCGCCTGGCATGACTAAGGCAGTAGCACTTCCCCCGAAGAAAGAAAGCATAACATTTTTTGCGAAGTAATATTTAACACTGAAGAATGCAACAGCAGGTTACACCCCAAGGATACCTCTTTCCACTTTGAAAAGATGGCTACCACCACTCAAGAGCCCCATTTATAGGGGTCTTCACCTCACTAAATTTAGGTTTTCACTGCTCCCAAATGACATTGTTTTTAGGCTATTTGATACCAATATTTGTGGACTATTTGAAAACGAATGAAAAAACGATCAGAAAGTAACTTTAATCTCCGTGCCAGGAGCCCACTTTCACAAGTTCACAACATGAAAGGGCAAGGCTTGAAGCTCTAGACAATCTGTCGAGTAAAATAGGTTTTCATTGTGGCTCTCAATTACACTACAGACTATTCCTTGAAAAACTGGGTTGGCAGAAGATTAAATTGTATGACACTTCATTGAGAGCAAAGGAGTATCACGTTTCACTGATAGTTCAGCAAATCCAATCCATAAGGATGCACAAAAGCTCTTTAGAGATTTGTGATTTGTTGTTGACTCTTAATTTGCTCTACTAACACTTTATTTTACCAAAGGCTTTATTTGTTCAAAGATATAGGGTAAGGTTATAACAGGGTTAGGGATCATCTTTGGGCACTGGTTAAGTTGGAACTTTGGTTAGTGGAGGAAATTGACTGCAATTGTCACCAGAGCATATGCCGTAGAACTATGCGATGCTGTAACTCCATCGAAGAGGGCGCCTCATAGTTAACCCTTTAGCAATAATCAAAAACAGTAATTAAAAACCTGAGAACACTTTCCCTATTAGTCCCTGAAATGCCCATAAAATTGTTATGCTATACCAGTGTAGCAGCAAGAAATCTGGCACCAACTTGTGGGCATTATCCCTGAAGATTCCTTAAACTGATAGGCCTAAATTCACAAAGGAAGCTTGTCGACAAACCTAGGTTTATGTGGGTCATATGACGCGTTTTAATGCGTTTCAGACCAAGGTTCAGACAAACCTTGGTCTGAAACGCGTCAAAATGTTTATGGCGCACATAAACCTAGGTTTGTTGACAAACCTCCTTTGTGAATTAATAATGATAATAATAATATTCATTTGTAAAGCGCAATAACTATGTGGATATATTCTATTGCGCTGCAAGAGCTCGTAAATGCTGTGCTATACATACTACATGAACAAGTGAGTTTTCAGTTTTGATTTAAAATTATCTAGTGATTGGGCTTTCCTTATTTCTAGTGGTAATTTATTCCATAATCTAGGGGCAGCCCAGAGAAATGACCGGTCCCGAGGGTTACTTTGGTTTTATATGGGGGTATTTGCAACATAAATGTGTCTTGTGTACTACGAAGGTTACGACCATGAGTTTGAGACTTGATGTGCAACAATTCAGTAACGTAACTAGGAGTTTGACCATTTAGAGCTTTGTAGACAATCATTAATATTTTAAATGTAATTCTCTAGCGAATTGGCAACCAATGTAGTTCCTTTAGAAGTGGGGTTATTCGAGAGAATTTTGGGAGGCTGCAAATTAGTCGTGCACATGTATTTTGGACCCGCTGCAACTTGGAAATTTGTGAGTCTGGCAATCCATACAATAAACTATTACAGTAATCTAGTTTACTAGTAACACATGCATGCATGATAGTTTTCATGCTGTCCTGATCAAAGTATTTTCGAATGCGTCTCAAATTATAAATCATGAAATAGGCTGATTTGCATATTTTAGTGATATGTGAATCCATATTCAGGTGGGTATCAAAAGACACACCTAAGTTTCTAACAGTATCAGATGGGGTTATGGTTGAGTCACCAACTGATACACTACGCGACCTAAATTTAGAAACCTGGCGTGGAGTACCAATGACCAAAAGTTCTGTTTTGTTATCATTTAACATCTACTTGTTTTGCAACATCCAAATCTTAATATAAACAACACATGATTCTAATTCAGAAATACAATGATCTTCAGCCGGTGTTTTAGGACAGAAAGATAGGTATAGTTGGGTGTCGTCTGCGTAGCAGTGACAACTAATACTAGGAAACTCTGTATGGATATTTGTAAGGAGTCTGCTTGTATACAAGGTAAACAACAGAGGGCCTAATCGCGACCCTTGAGGAACGCCAAAAGGCACATTGAATACATCAGAGACAACGTTATCAATTTCAATTTTCTGTTTTCTATCTGACAAGTAAGATTCAATCCATTCGATAACCTTGCCATCAACCCTAAAATGGCTTCTTAGAGTTTTCAGTAAAAATGAGTGATCTATTGTGTCGAAAGCACTGCTCATATCAAGGAGAAGCAGCAGACTTATTTTCTGGTTGTCCATTGACACAAGAAGATCACTTTTTATCCTAAGAAGTGCTGTTTGAGCCTATATGTCTACAAATAGTGTGATACTTGCCAAAGCTTTTGTGTTCCTTTATCTAAAACCATGTCAATGGTGAGTAAATTAAGGGCTCATTCAGAACTGATGCAGAAGTGAGTAAATTGCCTCAAAAATAAATATGCGATCCAAAAGTATTAAAGCATAAGTCCTATCCAAAATCTGTATGCTACAAATCGTGAATCAGAGAGTACAGGTACATAGAGGCTTTGTTGCCACAGCTACAATTTAAAAAAAAAAAAATGGTAATTGAATTTCATTAGCATTCAATTTTGGAGATAATTTTATATTATGATAAGAATTCCTTAGCCGAAAGGCAGAAGGCTAGGGCAAGGTGCATTACACAAGACCTGTAGGTCGTACAAGAGAAGTCCACTCTCGGTGATCGACAACACCCGTTATTGGGTTATACTGTACACCCGAATGGTGTTAAATTCCCAATAAAATACACTACTCTGAGCCCTTTAAGTAGTCACCTGAAGAATCAAGAGGGTTTTGAATTGATGCACAATTCATATCACTGTGAAGGGGAAGCCTTACTGATCAAATATAACAACTTCCCTCTTTAAAATATGTTTGGGGCCCGCAGTAGTAATCTCTCAAAAATGTTAATTTTGAGATCCAGATTTTCTGCCTTCAGCGGTCCTCCATGAGCGTCAAGATTTGTGGCCACAAAATTGCATTTTACACGTTTTTATGATATCTATATGATTTTTCAGCAAATTATTCCTTTTTTTCAAGAGAAAATCTTTCCATCCAAATATAATTTGTCCATAACAATTAGTTGTCGTGAATATTCTTCGGCTGACTTTTTTAAGCGAATGTGATAAAACAGTACCATACCTGGAATGATCGTCTCAAGTCCTGCAAAGTGTTCTGGATTGATGGAAGTCCGACAGTCTGGCAGCTTGATCATTTCTCTCAGTTCTTTGATCGTAAATGAGATGTTGAGAGGACCTCTCCTCCCCACGACGTGAACTTTCTTCACTTTACTATGCTTCAAGGCTTCAATGGCATCCGCAGTGATGTCAGTTTTCTATTGTGGAATATGACAAGAGTTTACACAGCATTTATCCTTGAGAAACATATCTTTGGTTTCCGGTTCTTTTTTTTCATTGTTTCATCTTGATACAAGTAGTATTCTACGATATCCAGTTTATAAATTAATTTACCTTATTTCAAGAATAAGGACAGTGTTGTATTTTAGCCTTGTCTCATTGTCATGATACAGTATTTAGCAGTACACATGCATACTGGACTTTCCTCTTCATTGCACCATCATCACCATCACCATCACCATCATCATCATCATCATCATCATCATCACCACCATCACCATCACCATCACCATCACCATCACCATCACCATCACCATCACCATCAACATCACCATCACCATCACCATCACCATCATCATCCTCATCCTTATCATCATCCTCATCATCCTCATCCTCATCCTCATCCTCATCATCACCATCACCATCACCATCACCATCACCATCACTATCACCATCACCATCACCATCACCATCACCATCATCATCATCATCCTCATCCTCATCATCATCCTCATCATCCTCATCCTCATCCTCATCCTCATCATCACCATCACGATCACCATCACCATCACCATCACCATCATCATCATCATCATCACCACCACCACCACAACCACCACCACCACCACCACCACCGCCATCATCACCTCATCATCATCATCATCATCGTCACCACCACCACCACCACAACCACCATCACCTTCAATTGACTAACCTTTAATATGTCTAAAGGAGTGAGGAGTATCCTGGCTACATCTAATGCAACATTACCATGACCTATCACTACAGCTGTATCTGTATCCATCATTGGGTCGAGCTGCATAAGAAAGAAAAAATTATTATACAAATAAAGCAAAACTATTACAAAAACAGTTTAAAGTAGAAATGATTGAGCAGTGCAGTTGCAAAAGAAGTAGACTTATTTTTTTTTATAGAAGTACACAAAAACTAATGCAATCAAGTTAACTGAGTGATGCACTTAAACATGGCCCATCAACCAAATCTAGGTAATCCAAGTAGCAAATAAGTGTACCGTCAAATCAACAGTTGTTGATTGAAGTAACTTTGCAAACACTGTCCCCTTTGCCAATTACATTTTGACTCAACAAGTATTTGCTCCTCACCCATTGCCTATGGAAATCAATTGGTTCTGATATAAAGCTGTAGCGATGACAGAATTCAGAAGGCATTTAAATGTGATTTCCAAGGCACAATTTTAATGCTTTTCATATATTTGTATTTTATTAAATTGATGAAATGAATTTAATTTAATTTGTAGCAGCTCTTACATTCGCCCTACTTTTATTGTACATTCATGTCTCCAGTATTTTTCCATCACGATACTTATTTATATTCAGTTATTCGGACCACGTGTGTTTTTCCTTCCATTCATGCCAAGTGTTTCCGCGCACTCCTTCACCCGTGTATTTTCAACGCCACAAGGTTTTTTTCCACTCCCGCTTCCAACTCGGTCGAGTCAAGACGTCTCTATGATTTCCTCTCCCGGTTTTATTCTTCTGTGCCTTTCGTCTCTTCTACGACACGTCAACTCTTTTTCTGCCATCTTCATCGGGCTGCAGTCTCCCAGTGGAACGTTATAGTCAGGACCGACATGGCGCCTGACTCTCCGCTGGGAGCTGCCAGTTTCTTCGCTCCGGTAGCTCTTTCCACTCTCGAGCTCAGACAATTCACCGCAGCTCATCTAAACATTTTTCCATCAAAGTCCAGCGCATCAAACGAGCAACAATTACTACTCAGCACCAGTGCCGGCTTTGCATGTCTAAATTTCTAATCTTCGCCTCCGACCTCGAACGACCCACTGTTCTGACTTCGAGTGCCACTTTTCTTCTCTTCTATTCTCGCCTGAGAGCTTCTTCATCATCTTCATCATGAGCGTCAGCGTTGAGATCCTTCACGGCTCTTCAGCCATGACTACGAAGCTGCATCTCCGCCTTCAAGCTTCCGCATATTCTTCGCGTGAGCCCCTTCCTTCGTTCTTCACATCTCTTCTTTTCATTGGACTTTCGACATCATTTCCATTCAGTCGTAAGCTTTTATTCGTGTCATTCCATTTATTCATGTCCATCGCATTATTATGTAATCTCCGTGCAATATTCACATTTACCATTTATGCATTTTCATTCCAAGTCTTCTATATTTGCTTGACTGCACTTTGCAAGTGTATTGTCGGCTTTGTGTATACCTCAATAAACATAAAGAAAAGGGAATACTTTCTTTCATGTATTTTATTGTCAGTGCAACCTTGCTTCCTCGTAGCTAAATAAAAATAAGAGTTATGTTGTGTGACGAGTGAACACGCTTATATAATTTCCATTCACAATACCCCACACAGCCATATCTCTACAAATTGAATGATAAACTGCTCATCTAGTGAAAGTGTCCATGTACATGTTTCGAAACACAGGACAAATAACATCAAAGTGGACTCTCATTAACAAAAATAAAAACACAACCATTTAAAACATTTAAAAGGATGCCTGTTGCCAGGGACATGTTCTACTCAGTACTAACCGTTGAATGTTCTGGAAGTCCATTGTACCAGCCAACAAACTTTCTAGCAGAGTAGAACCCTGGTAAATCTTCTCCCGGTACGTTCAGCATCTTGTCACTTTCAGCACCATAACTCTATTAATAGGTTGTAGGAAAGTTATTTGATTTGATTAACACTGCTGTGATTCTAATCTATACAATTTGAACATTTATTCTGGACAATAATGAAAGATTTTGATCTTATCTTATGCTGGGAAATTTAGGATTTTATTGTTTAGTGGATAAGTTAAAAGATTATTGACCACCTGAATCATGATTTGAATCCCTGTGACCGACACTTTTATCCTTTAGCAGGATATTAACCTACATTTGCCACTAATGACACAGGTGAAGCAAATGGATAACTGATTTCATGCTTGAGTGCCTTATTCAGTCAGAGAAATAATCTAGCATTTTGTAATTGCAGAAGTAATAGTAGCTTTACATTATACCTTTGTTGTCTATCAATACATATAATAAATAAAAACATGTGAGTTAACTCCATAATTCATATTTATTTTTTTCAATCATAAAAAAGGGAAAAACACAAGATATTTAGAGGTGGTCTATCCTAAACCATAACAAAAAAAAAAAAAGGCAAAATATACACCATTTCAGGTTCACAAGACTGTAAATATTAATTTCAAGACACATACTTCCATACACATCACGTGAAAATATAAATGATGGAAGCTTACCAATACAACAGCACTGTAGGCATCTAAAAGTTCCTTGACCTGTATATCTTTGCCTATGCTGACCCCACCTATAAAGTTGCATCGACCGGCTGTGGCGAGTGTTGTAAACTGGTTGATGACATTCTGCGAAAGGTACAAAATAAGAGGTGAATGTAATACAAATACAGCAATGCATAGTAAAGAAGACCCAATACTGGTACTCATCATCCTCTTTCATGGCTTACTCATCTAGCATCTTCAGTGACCTTCACTCGACCCCTCACCAACAAAGCTGGTAAAATACAGTTTCTCCTCTACTGCCTCCAAACTCTGGAATAGGCTCCTTCCTCAATTGAAATTATCAGTAGAACAACTCAAACAGAGTTTGAAGACATATATCATATTTATTCTAAAACCATATTGGATTCATTGAACTCACACTGTCACTGCTTAATAACTTGTATATTTTAACTCTAACAGTGGATGACAAGTCAAAGCACTGTGTATCTATTGGAAAAGGTGTTACATGAATTGCAACTATTGTTATTATTATTGCTTTCAAAAGAAGGGGCCATTACAGATTATTCAATTGGCTCAAACAAGATCAAATGTAGTGCCAGAAATTAGTTTAAGTTTTCCTTACAGTTTGTAATCTTATAAACAGTTTATGAAAACTTATTTATTCATTCCGAGTCTGATATTGATCACATACCACCCAATCACTGGATGGTGCATAACCTTGTGATAAAAGGGGGATTCAATTTTGATTCTGGTCAATATTAAATCTCCCTGAGACAGCACCATGAAGTAACACACACATTCACTTGGAGCAATTACAGTAAAAAACTTCCTTTTAAAGCCAATCTGCACTAGTTTGGCCAGGAGGGATTAGACCTCCCAGCCTGGTCACTGGCAGGTGATTATCTCATCAAATCAGCTTCCAATCAACATAAGAAAAAGGGGATTATGGGGAACCAACGGGTACCGCTTAGGCATTGTTAGCTGTATAAATGAATATAAATAGTGCAGTCCCGCTTTCATACTGAATGTGGCGAGCTTATTATTGTTACCTTTACGTCTGGATGATCTGGTGCCACACCATACCTAACAAGGCCAAAGGGTACTGGAAGACGGTCGTAGATGTCTACATGTAATGACTTGTCACCCTGTAGGGAGGTCAAGGAAAGAAACAAAACATATTGTGTAACTGCATTTAACATTAATCCTCATTACCAGGTCCCTCGGAGAGGGCCTAAAGCCGTCAGCCGTCTGGTTGCTTACTTTCAAGCATTTATGCTTTCTTAACAGTCACTAGTCAGGTAAAATAAACACCGCCATTCACATTCACATAACAATACCATACGAAGATGGACAGAAGATGGAAAATTTCACCAATTATGATTAACATACATGTACTTCAGAACTTTATGTGATATTTATGCAATTGATATCAAATTCAACAGGGATTAATCACAAAGTATAAAGCTTATACATGTATGTAGCATATTCAAATAAAATGGCAGCAATTTCGTTTCCCATACATTACCAATTAACTAGGAATAACAAGCCTTGTGAAGTGCCTCGATACAAAATTATTTCATTGACCTGATAAGAATAATAGTATTTCAATAGTCAGAATGCAAACTGCATATATAAATGTTGCTAGGTGGGGCAAGCCATAATGTTTGTCCTACCTGACAACAACTAATGTATGCAGTTCGGATTCTGTCTTATTAAAATACTATTATTCTTAACAGGTGAATGAAATAGTTTGTATCAAGGCACTTCACAAGGACTTAAATATATTAAATGTGGTTACATTACGAAAATAGCCCATTAATTGTAACAGTTGAATTAAATATTTTGTATCGAGGTACTTTAATAAGCATAAATTTGGTTACATTACGAAAATGGCCTTTTGTACCAGAATGAAAATACTTGCCTTGAGCAGTGACTGTGCTGTGTAGAATCCAGCAGGTCCACTGCCAATGATGCATACCCTAGGGGTGCTTGCAGACTGGGAGGACAGGAGCCGGGCTGGGTGACTGGTCTGGTGAACGCATGCCGGACATATCAGCCGACTGGAAAGGTATCTACGCAGTACCCACGACATATTCTACCACTCTGATTTAAAGAATTAACTGGAGAAAAGGGGAAAATGTATACGATGATAAGCCTCACAGCCTACTCATCTTTCATGATACTACCTTGTCAAAACTAAGGTTGCATTCATGCACCAATTCATAAGCTGGGATCACAGTTTTGAAACACTTTTAATTTAGAACCACACTGCATGATTGCATTTTTTCTCCAGTCATATGTTTAATCATGATTGAGGATTGCTGATTTGAAATATTTAAAAGGGTGCATTTTGGCCAGAATCACAATTCGTGAAAATAAAGCACAAATGCACGTATGTAACGGACATCTGCATCATAAATACATCACGTCACAATTTGGTTCTTGTTCCATTGCAAAAACTGCAAGCCCTCCTAAGATAAGACTACCAGAGAAAAAACACAGAAAGACATTTAAGAAATGATAGAAAAATAGCTGAAATAAGATAAAAGATAGATGAAATGAGGAGAAAAATAAATAAATATTAAACATGAGAAAAGAAAGGAAAAAGGATGTTACGGGGAACACTGTATTCAAAGAAAAAAAAGGGTCAGACAAAACATGTCCCCAAGTTTCTGAATTGTCACTACAGCTTCCAGTAATATATGTCTTCCCTCCTTCGTTTTGTAACAGAAAACGAAGAATCAGAAAAGACAGAATCACAGACACAATGAGACAATGTCAACATTTCGTTTCCTTCTTCTTCTTCAAGACAATCTGCCTCCTTCAATACTGAAGATTCTTGCAGATGCCGTATACTCTGCCTGATGTGGGTGTGCAGGTGGACCATTACACCGGGGTTTCCCCCTACTCTTATACAAATAGTGCAATGGGTTTTTAACGTGCAAGGGTGGTGACTCTCCTGTACACGGGGCCTCCATTTAACGTCCTATCCGAGGGACTGAGTGTTTTCCACTTGACATAACCTGCGTCTATGAACAAGGGAAGGGGCACGTTAACACACAACGCAGACTTCAGTCATCCGCCTGGGTGGGAGTCGAACCCGGGATCTTTGGTTCGACAAACAGACGCTTACGTCAGAGTTACGACTGAGCCAACTCGTCTCCTTCCTTTAGTGATTTATGGTCATAATTCTGGCTTTAGTAACCAAGTAGACATACTTAAAGGGACACGACTCTTAACAAGTAAAAAGGCACCACACATTCACATTTTAGCCATACCACATAGTCATACCACACACTATGTAGAACGTATGGGACTACAATTAGTCAGTGCAGTTAAGAAACAAAATGTGTTATGCTCGGGTAATCTCAATATAACCACCGACAAATATCATTAACTGCAAGGAATAAGCAATCAAATCTATTCAAAACAAATTTCAACAATTTCAATCGTTCAAATTTTATATTTACCTTTCAAAACGTCGGTGAGGTTGGGTCTAAATTTAGCTGAATTTATCTGTCTTCTCTATTTGCATTCTTCTTACATTTATGGAACGCCAAAGGGTAACCCACGAAAATCCTTTATTATTTTATACGATTATCGTAATTTGTCATTAGTAGTATACAGAAGTAGTATTATCATTTTGTGTTATCAGTATTATTATTTTTATTATTATCATTATGATTGTCATTATTGTTATTATTATCGGTAATAATAGTTTTAGTAGTAGTAGTATGTTAATTGTTGTCGTTTTTGTTGTTATCATCATATCATGATTATGACATTGTTTGGATAAGCGAATAAGTTTACCTGAATAATTCAATTATTTTTTTTGAAGGAGGGATATGCTTTGGAACACCCACATTTGTTGAAGAATGTTTCTGGAATCTGTCACCTCGATAAATCCCCAATGCAGGGTCTAAATTTGTACAGCCCCCCCCCCCCTCCCCCCCCCCCCCCTGGAAACCCAAGTGGGACGTGGGACACCATAAGTATAGGCCTTGCAACTCCAAAGATACCCTTTACCTTCTTTTTTTTCTCTTAGGTCATACAAATATCTGAAAATGTTTTTTTTTTCCGTTTGTGGATATTCTCTAGCTCAAAAAAAATGTATTTAAAGGGGGGAAAAAGTCTGACATAACATGTCCCCAAGTCCAAACGGAATTGTCCCCACAGCTTCCAATAATAATACAGAAATATCTTCCCTTCGTTTTGTAAGAGAACAATATGGGCATATGGTTCAAATGGAATCATAATGAGAAAAAGTGGCAGCTTGGAAAGGTTGCCCTTTCTAAACTACTTTCTTTCTTTCCTCTTTTTGTTTTGGCTAGGAGGGGGAGGGGGGGGGGGGGGGGGGGGGGGGGGGCAACCCCAACCTCGAGGCCCCAGGTATTAAGTTAGTGTTTTTTATCTTCCTCTATCTCACTCTCCTTCTCTTTCTCTCCTATATTCATTTTCTAGTTTATTTTGATAAGTTACATATGTCACACTTAAAAAAGCTAAAGATGAACATCGTAATTTACTTTCATGTTTTAAATTCATTTATTATATCCTTCATATATATATATATAAAGGTAAAATCTCCACTCTTTCTTCTATATATAAGATAGATTAAAATTGACACAAGTGAATTCAAATTGCACCCACATTGTCTTCATGAGGGACGGGTATTCAAGTAAGGCAGAACAATAAAAATATGACGACACAACATGCCTGAATACCACATAAAGCTCACTTTTTGACAAGACACATATATATTCTGAAAAGTTTCAAGTCACGATCACACGCAAGTACAAATAGTGTTGAGAGCCAGAAGGGCATTAACCTTGTGTGAAAGGATCTGACTTAACGCCCTTCTGGCTCTAAGCAAATGACTGTTATTGTTATGTAGTGGCACAGTGTGGCAACCCAACTAGCTCATTTTTATAATGTTACCATTTCACACACATAACCCTTAAAAGATGAATTCTAGTCTATGTGCTACTCGATATGAATACACCACCGTCTTTCCCTCTCTTCTATATTTTTGCTTTTCTTCTTTTTTTCTTTGCTTTTTTTTTTTTTGTCTATTTTTTCTTCTTTATGATTACACTTCTAATGTAAGTAATGTTTGTTGCAGTTATGAAACAATATCACACAAACATGAAGAGAGTTCACCAAAGCTACCTTTTCCATATTACAGCATAGTCAAACTGTATGACTTTATGAAAATCATGTCAGTTCAACGTCTCAATGTTGAGGTCAAAAGTACTGTAGTCAGTAGGGAATTCTTTTTGTACTTTATTCCCCATTTCAAATCAGAAACTACATATGTATATTTATTCCAATCCAGTACTTGAAAGTATGTAGATAATTTCATGTAGAATATAGTATGTACTGGTCAATACAGTAGGTTACCAGCCCACAATCTTACATGTAGAACACACATTTTTACTGCAGTGCATACATGTACAGTTAACAATTAGATTATTCATATCCCTAACATTTGTACTTGTCAAAGTATGTGAAAAATTGATTTGTCCTGATCAATGTTTCTTAAAGGTAAAGACCAGTTATGGTCATGCGATTGCATTGTGAAAGAAACGTTGTGGAATCGATCAGAAAAGGTTGATCATCTAGCATCTAGCATCTGCAAGGTTCTGGAATCATCAAAATGATAAGAAATTTTGCCCATTCTTTGTAAAGTTACAAGCACTATACACAGAAAGATGTATATGGGACTACCCTATATCTCTCACAGTCCATGAGAGAAACAAATTTACCAAATATGTGAATTAGTAGGCAGTTTCCCGGCAAATTTGTTATCATCATGTATTAGTCAAAACATATTCTTTCACATGATTGGTAATGAGAGCTTCCATTTCATTTTTTTGAAATTGGGGCGTTTCCAATACTGGTCTTTACCTTTAGGAATGTGAAAATTCAAGCTTACATCTAAAAGGATTAAACAAAGTCCCTAATTTAACCAGTCTACCTTTCAGTCTTGAGTTACGAAAAACACATCAAATTTAAAGGAGTATGAATAATTTAGTTGTTAACTGTATATGCATGAAGCAGTGATACAAACTAGACACATAGCAATCAACAACGGATGGGGGGGGGGGGGGGGTGGGAGGGTTGGAGGCTGAAAGAACTTTCAAAAAGTAAAATCTGTAGCTACTTCACTCTAGAAACATGAAAAACTTGTATGCACACCATGAAAATTACTTATAAAAACACTTAAAGTCATCTTCGGTAATTCAGTACACAGAAAACGAAATTTTCCGCTTTTTAATATATTTCTTGCAAATTTTGGCACTATGTTCAGCTCGCACCTCAAAATACAAGTATAATATTCTCTGCCTTGTCACTTACCGGTATTGAAACATTTGCAAATGTTGAAATACAAATGTGTTTTTTGACGTTCATTGATAGAATGACAACCTATTGTTGTAAAGCATGTCACTATGCATATCCTCAATACAAAAATCTATGAATACAGCTTGAAAGAGAATACAAAGGTAACATCTAACCCAAAAAATGTGGAAGAACTGGGGACTCGCCATTTACATTTGAATACAGGATTTTTTGTTTGTTCCATTCATTCGATGAAGCCCGACTGAATACAAAGGGATTGTCATCTCTGAATGCCATGAGATTCCCTCTCTCATTTCAGAAGTTCAGCATATTTCCACCAATGTAAAGAAAATGCATTTTTTAACAGGAACTTGTTTTTTATTAGTCTTTAAACCAAAAAATCTAAAGAAACAGATATTTCCTAGGGGGCAAAGTCCACATTCCTCATTATTATTTTCATACCTGTAGTTCTTGATTTTTCGGTTTTATAGAGCTATTTAAATTCTTGTATTTACATTATACCTGTATTACATTAGGTTCTACTCCCAAGTAGTCGTGTTTTCATCACTGGTCCTCACATTCAAGTATACACCAGCATTTGTAGTACATGTACAATTGAAAATCTAACATAAATGTTAACTGCTACTTATTTGCGAGCGACATGAAGACTGAGCTACAGAATCCTTCAGTTATAACTTATTGCCAAGGCTTTTTAGGTGAAGCTCAAACATCTTGGAGTGGATATTTAATTATTTATAAGCAAGCAGGCAATTCACCTCAACACAGGATGATGCAAAGCTTTTGGAAAATTTCACTCATGCTGAGGGGTACGAACAGTACACAAGAAAACGTCCAAATAATGAGAGAGCAAAGTCTAACAATATTACCAAAATCCAAGCAATTACCAAACCCACATGCGAGTGAAACTAAATTTCCTCATCCCCCGAGACCCCCCAAAGTTGGTAAAAGAACTGTTCAAACCACACACCCTTGAAGACTAAAGCTTAATATTCTAACAAGCCAAATGAATTGCAAAGTGCAAGCGACTTGGATGTAAAATTCTCAAAGAGCAAATTGTTGGGCTGTCCGCAAGAAGGCCATTGCCAATACATAGCTCTTATTAATGGCCTTTTTGCGGACAGCTGACAAAATGAATTCCCTAATCATCATTCTTTTCCCCAAGAACATTGATGAAGTAAACTACAAGTAATTTCCAGCATTACATATTCAAAGTGAATACATTCTCATTCTGCTTTCCACACCCATTCAATCTATCATATATTTTTTTCCATACAGTAAGAATGTGCTCCTCTCCTATAAAAAATATATATATACTTTCATAAGAATCTCTCTATATATCTCTCTAATTCTGATTGCTACTCCATACATCACACCCATCCCACTCATAAAAAGGCATCATTTAGACCCTGAGTCGGAGTAAAATCTGAGGCTGACCAATGCGCTTCAAAGGGCTAAATTCATCAGTATATCACCAGTGTACTTGCTTCGTAATACATAATGTCCGTTGAGAGGCAGAAAGGCATTAATGTAATAGACTTTGTACAGATTTTTCTAATGCCTTTCTGTCTTTCAGGTGAAGGTGCTAGGAGATGGACATAGTACAGGGACGGGAGGATGAAGGTCATCGTTATGTCTCTCCATCCATGACAGGCATTAGTCTCGTTAGGCATAGGCTGTCCCAGTCAAAGGGCTTGAAATCTAGAGAAATCAAAGATGAAATGAAATTAAAACAAATCATTTGGTGGGAGCAAGAAGGGCGCTAAATTATATCATTAGATACAGTATTAACACCTTCTGGCTCTCAACAGATGAGATGACTTTCATTTATAATGACATAATATTTACTAAAGCATCGTTCCAATATGCAGAGGCTTTTTTTCTTTCTTTAATGACATACATTTAATATATATGCTTTACAGTTCTGTATGTTATAGTACTGCGAGCTCAGTGAGCACACACAGAACCTTGGTTGTGCACAGCTGTTATTCATTTGTTTTTAAAAAACCGCCATGGTTTACTACTTCATTATCACATGATCATCCTCAGTGGGAAAATTAACTATTCTACAATTGTAGACTGTGCTCTGCTCAATGTTTTATCAATTGCAGTGCTCCCCTCTCGTTGCTTGTTAGATTATTTCTAAAGCAAGTGGTGCTGGATTTTCAATGGAACAGACACTGTAGATGAGGTTCATGAAATAAAACACAATCACAAGACAATAGGGTATTTATTAATAAAAGGTTGAGTTCTGGTAACGGCGAATAAAATGTATGATCTTTCTTGATCTCTCTATGTCAGTTTTAAAAATATCAAAAGAAATGTCTCCTGAAAAGGAATTGCTCTTCAAATGCTCTCACATTCATAATGTAACAAAAATGACTTTAAAAATTGGACCAATCATGGCACCTGTAGGTGTAGCCCCACATATCCAATTCTGTGCGCAGTGTATGAGAATTTCAGATACTTTTTTTTTGGGGGGGGGGGGGTGATTCTGAAGTATACCCCAATTCTTGAGTACTACACAATCAACCTTTTCCAATTGCTTCCAGACAGTTTCTCTCATAATGTAATTGCACAACCAGAACTCAACGTTATCCTTAATCAGAGGTCTGCTGGCACACATGGAATGAGAATATACTACATCTACTGTAGGCATTCAAGCATACAAATTAACAACCTGGGCCAGTATTCAATTCAATACTCATCTAAAAAATATGAGTACTGTACAGTTTTCGGCTTACTGGTACATAAAAACTTTGCCAACTTTGGTATTTCGGCCAAGTCAGTTTAATAGCTGACTTACATGTAAGCCAATACTTTTGAGGCCTTGATTGTCAGGAATGTTTTTTTCATACTCAGTCATTATAAGCTAGCCACAATTATATAAAGTTGTAAGAGCGCATTTCATGTGACATGTTTATTGCCCATTATTCTGGATTAGCCAAGTGATGTCACAATGGCAATTAGGAAGGAGATTGTCTGATATTTGGCTTATCAAAGTGTACATGTCTTTCCCAGATTTGATCAGAATAAGACTTGATCAAGGAAAATGCTAAATTATCAAAGTAATGTATTGAATACGGTCCCTGATACTTACATCTAAGAGATGGATTTTCTTCTTTATCTACAAATTCCTCTACACACGTTCCTGAAATGAAAGAATACAAATTTACATAACTGTAAGCCCATACGATTCAGTCATATTCAGACAAAGGTCAAACAAACAAATAAAATGTTATCCATAAAATCTACCGGTAATTGAAACATTCAAGTTATTAGGAACTTCTCTTCCAATTTTACAACACTAAAATAAAATCTGAATACATATAAAACGTTTGACTTATATCTCTCAAATCAAATGACTCATCTGCAATAAAGCATGATCACCCAAGATCCTGTACTTGAATTTTTGACCTCTACAGGTATCTATAAAGGCAAGAAGGGCACCCCCCCCCCCTCTTCATATGAAAATTTACTTCCGACAGAGTTTATAATAATAAAGATGATAATGAAATCGATAATCTCCTGATCTTGATGAAGTATCATAGTATTATTATTGCTTTTATTATAATAAATCTATAAAGTTTTAACTGTTGGTTACATTGTAAATTTTAATAACGCTGCACGCATTTCCTCAAATGCATCGTACACAATGTACAATTGTCATATATGAGCATATGAATAAATGATTTAATCTTTTGTCGAAAATCATGTTAGACAAAGGGAGTTAGACTGAGTTTTCTTAAACACGATTTTAGGCACGATGATCACGATAATGCTAGTAACACATTGTATTATCAGTGGCTTTGCCCTATTCATAATAAATCTAATCCATTTATCTCTTTATTTATGATGCATACTGCTCAGTTATCCATCAAATGTATGTACCTCTCAAAATACTTTTAGTGCAGTAAATAATGATAATAATGATGATGATAACAAGAAGAAGAAGAAGAAGAAAAAAGAAAGAAGAGGAATCAATTATTATGAAGACTTTACAAATAGAAAAAAATAAAAAATTACCTTTTCTTCCCTGTCTACAGTCATTGAGTTCCTTTTGTGTCATTTCCCATTCTGTAAGAGAGAGACGTGGTAAAAAAAAAAATGTAGAAAGAAAGAGAGAGAGAGAGATGGACATAGAGACAGACAGAGAGGGAAAAAAACAAAATTAAAACGTATTCCGGTAGCCAAATAAAAAAGGATTAGTTTATGTGCAAGGTTCATCTTTCATGTGCACCGTATGTTTGTGAATGTTCGCACATGTCATGAAACGTATGTTTGCAGACCATAAATGAATAAACCCATAATATACTGTCTGCAAAGAAAGGAGAACGGATGTCCCTTGTACATTGTACACAAATAAGTCATAATGTACACAAATAACTTTAAACTATAATAAGATAACACTCAATTGTATGTAAATAAATGCCACTTGGGTATTTTGGAATCAATATTAAGTTCAACAAGTACGGAACTTTACAACTACAAACCTCTTCATATCTTTCAGTTCAAACTCAAAGGGCTATATACTCAAGGTTATACTCAAAGGGTTTATACTGAACATTATCTACATGTACTAACATGGTCCCTCAGCTTTAAAGATAATAATGGTTGAAATAACCAATCAATTGTTGAGATTAAACAGTTTTTGTCAAGTTAAATACATGTGTAAAATCTATAATAGGCCAATAGCAGAGAAGAAAATTATTTATTACAATCACAATGCTTTAAAAAATCCATTTTATTAACAGTATTCAATCTGTACATGATCTAAATCACACATACACATTAACATGTACTGTAACTACTTATCCAAACATTATCTCTAGAATGCTTTCTCCATGTTACATTTCAAAATCATACTTTAACAAGCAGCCTGTGAAAAAAAATTGGTTTACAATGTCAATCACACATGCACACAATATTTATCATAAAAAAGATTACCTGAAGGCTTTTTATAACAATCATTATGATAAAGATAGCAACAAAAATTTAATGATAAATCTGAAACCTATATGTTTTTATTGAGACAAGGTGACAGATAATTCATACCAAGTGTTTTACCAACCTGTATTCAACATCTTGACTAGTTCATAGTGGTCTCGTCCAAAGTGGTCGACAGAAAGCCCTGGTAGTTTTGAGTGGTGATCCTTTTTACGGCCTGATATAACAGCACTACTAAAGGAAGGTCTAGGTGAAGTCTGTGGGCTAGAAATGACAATCACACACATTTTACCGTAGACATGAAATAACCACAAGAATAAAATTCTATAAATACATGTACCAACAATAACAAATATAAATGGAAACTGTTGTCATTAAAAAGTTTTAAAATTTCCCAATTTTGATCGAAAAGAATGATTTTGAACTTTTTAATGTGTTCCCAAATTAAAGGATTTTAGACAGACTAGATTTTCACTATTTCTGATGTCAACTGCAATGTGGTAACAAAACAAAAATGGACACAATATGTGCTGAAATGTTTGCCCTTTCTTTTCATGCATCAGGGCCCTGTTTCACAAAACTTGTTTTCAATAACAAATTATGCTAAATTTAAATGACAAATTTTCCCTCAGCCAATCAGATGCCATGATTTCAGTAGCTTATATTACAGTAATTGTAACTTGTTATTTAAAGATGAAGTTGAGTTCTGGTCATGCGATTGCATTGTGAAAGAAACGGTGTATGTGGAACCGACCAGAAAAGGTTGATCATCTAGCATATAAGAATGTGTGTGTATTGCAAGGTTCTGGAATCATCAAAATGATAAGAAATTTGGCCAAGTCTTGGTAAAGTTACAAACACTTGCACAGAAAGATGTATATGGGACTACACGAACACGTGGCGTAAAAAGCCGGCCCCCCTCCCCCGATTTTTACGATGTTACATGCATATCTAGATTATGAAGGCATTTGAAGAGCCATGCTTTTCAGGGAACATGTCTTAACTGATGTTCTTCCACACTTGCATAATAAGAATGAGTAATGCTCACAAATTATTTTTCACCTCTTCCCAGAACTCAACCTTCTCTTTAAATATAGTTTTATGAAACAGGTCCCTGGCATATTTTTAGGGCTCTGAATAAAAAGTTAATGAGCCAAACCAAAAAATGTGGAATGCTTGTCTTTGATGCAAGTACAACAATATCAGACTAATTTAACATATTTCATTCCAATCAAATTTCAAGTGTACAAATCACCAAAATATGTTTTGCATTCCATAATGCTATAATACTACATTCAAAATATGAGCTTTGAAAGTTTGAACATAAATTCTACGAAGAGATACATTGCAGTGATCGGTACATTATAAGGATAACAGAGAAACAAAATAATGTGAAAATGTGAAAGACTGCAGAATAGAGGAGAACAAAGGATGTTGTAGTTGTTTTAAGTCATTTACTGTATGGTGATTAAGATCAGTATGCTTTACCAGCTCCCTCCTATGGGAATACAATAATGGACCACATCCTTTTACCCCACTGCTGCCCTTGTACGGGTAACTAACAGACAGGTGGCTGCATTACCAACACGTGAAACTTCTTCATACACATTGTACATGTACAATGTACACACACATGTTCATTACATGCAACCACGTGTTTCAAATGTGTGCGTGTGTGAAGAGTCCAAACACAAACTCACATGGAATTGAAGTGGCTTACAGTGTAGTTGTAAAACTGAAGTGCAACACCTGGCCGCATTGAGAATTTCATTGCACAGTAAAACTTCAGGATGTACTTTGTACATTTGGAAAAAGGTACTGGTACGTTAACATAAAGTACCGGTATAGGTCTTCATGTTAATAGAAATAGCAAAAGTCAAGGAAAAAAATCGTGCTGGACATAACTTCATTTACAATAACTGCAAAACATAAAAAGTCAAAATGAATTGTGGAGAACCTAGTTTGTTTGCAAATGAACCTGTCATTTTACAGGCAACAAGAGAGAGAGAGAGAGAGAGGGAGAGAGAGAGACAGGCAAAAAATTAAGTTTTTCATTTCGGGGGCTCCATTTCAAATTTTGGGGAAATTTTCGGGGGCTACTTTTTCAACTTTTGGGGGCTCTTTTTTCCATTTCGGGGGCTCTTTTTTCTGGGGCTACTTTTTCATTAATTCATAAAAGGATAGGCCTACAGTTTGTTGAGATTTGTTTAGTAGGCTAAGGTTTCGGGCTTCCTGCTTCATAATTGCCTATTAAAAAAGAAACCCCTTTTTCTAGTTCAATAACTAAGTTTTCATGTATTGATTTGATGCAAGAACTGTAACATAATAGACCCTAGATTGTGACTATTTCTGGCCATGAATTTCGATAATCATTTTTCAAAGTAAAATTTTCACAAGAAAATCAGACAGTCGTTTAAAAACGTAGACATTAGTAATACTTTTACTAATTCTAAGCTCAGGTTTCGTAAATCTATTCACGAAACTATATTGAAATCGCGCCAATAATGATGCAAACCAACAGATAACAATTTCAAAGTGTCAAATCTCTTCGACTCGAGCTCAGCCCAACTCACACACATACTGCAGCTGCAGGAAACTTCAACACCGGCGCCGCAGGCGTCGGACGCCTGCGCTGCCGGTGTTGGAGCTTTAGCCCATCTTCACTCACACACACTGCACAGCGGCAATGCACTGTATTGTACAAATGCGTCAGTCACGGTGATTTTGTCTGATTTTCTTTACTTTTAAGAAATGATTATCAAAATTACGTAAACATGGCGAGAATATCACAAAATAGGCCTTAATTTCATACCTCTATTTATGGCAACTTTATAAAATTGCGGCAATCGTGAATTCGTGATGGAAATTGATTGCAGTTTCGCGATCATTTAGTGGTTCATGGTCTAGATTCAGCTTCTACCAAAACAAAATCGACCGCCAAAAACTCGACCCCTACGCTCCGTCTCGATCTCTCGCAACTGCGAAAATGTACGTGTTTTGGCGTACTTGCGTGCGACATGGTAAGCCAGGTAAGGTATAGAATATGGTTCGAGTTTTTTTACGACCGATTTTTGTTTATACAATTTTACATGGAGATTCAGCGCGCGGACCAAGAAATGCACGCAATGAATACGAAGCTAGAAGAGAGCGCGCGACCGCTCGTAATCGTTACGGGGGCGATTTGAGATCATTTCACTTTTTGATGTCGCCCCCGAAATCGGATTTTGAGCCTATTTCGGGGGCTGTTTATGGTCTTTCCGGGGCGAATCCGCCCTCCGCCCCCGTGTATTTTTTTGGCTGGAGAGAGAGAGAGGGGGGGGGGGGGAGATAGAATATACATGTAACCAAATAGTAAGCTTGTAAACATAGCGGAATAGATGTTCTGTTTAGATTCACGTATGTACATGTGTATGTAAATGTCTAGAAGCTAGGCATTTACTTACTTGATCATGTTACGGCCATTTTCTCCTTCATCTACTGGTTGCTGTAATCCTGTGATTTGAATGAGAAAAAAAGTAAGAAATTACTAATTTTCCATTTACCCGGTAAGAACTAAAAGATTGAATGAGAATTTTATATTGCAAAAAAAAAAAAAAAAAAAAATTAAATACAGATTCATGCATACATTATTTCAAATTTTCAATCATCTCAGTCATGTTAAGTATATTTCATAAACATAAGCAATACAAATAGGGTACTCATGATAGTTGTCCATAATAAATAGGTACACTGTTACAGAATGTTCCCAACAGTTATCATAATGATGCAAAATTTGTGTTATGTCTACAAAAGAATTTTGATGAAAGAAAAAATGCATGTGGCACAATGTTATCATCACTTATTCACTATCTATAATATTAATAACATAGGTAACTTTTGTAAATGAATTAAATAAAGATATTGCATGGTTTCTTATAGAAAAGGAGTGAAAATTCACAGCATCAAAATACACAAATGCTAAATTAAATACTGAAGCTAAGACATCAAATACTAGTACAATTAATTATCAAAAATTTACTAATATTATATAAAATCAGTTTTATGAAAAGTTGAAAAGCATCATAATTCACCATTGACACCATTGACACCATTTCAAAGGTACTAGTCAGACTCATAGAGGAGCTGAAGTCACGAGTACCAACACAACACTACACTTTTGTAGCAGTTGATTTTGTTCATGTTATTGAAGTTGAACTGTTTATCCAACATGATTATGAATACGCCTACGCAAGCGCGTAGCTAGGATTTAATTTTAGGGGGCGGTAGTGAGCACGCAAAGCGTGCGATGCAATTACAGAGCTAGACCGAAAGCTTCAGTCTCTATACCGTCGGTTGTTCCACTGAGACTACGTCTGGCTCCACTAGACCTCCGGTTATAGAGACAGAACGATCGCCTATGCCAGCCTATGTTGAAGATATCACGGCTAGATTTTAGCCGTTAGGCCCCTCCCACAAACATGAACAAACTTGCCATGGCCGTATTGTTATGCCCCCAAAATCCCCCAAAATGTCATTTTACCTCGTGCATATCCAATTTTACATTAGGTCTAGGCTATAATACATCGGTTCCACTTACTAACTTGATTGAAATAATCCGTTTAATGGTCCCTTTTAAGGAAATTATAGGTCAAAATCGACATCCATGTTGAAAATCTTGCAAGCCGTGTTAAACTCTCGCTGCCGTCAATCTCATCCCTTCTAGTCTACGCCGAAGGCAAAATGATTATGAAGGAAAAACTGTGCGCCATCTACACGTTCGTAATGGCGTTATCACAGTTTTTCCTTCATAATCATTTTTGCCTTCGGCGTAGACTAGAAGAGATGAGATTGACGGCAGCGAGAGTTTAACACGGCTTGCAAGATTTTCAACATGGATGTCGATTTTGACCCATAATTTCCTTAAAAGGGACCATTAAACGGATTATTTCAATCAAGTTAGTAAGTGGAACCGATGTATTATAGCCTAGGCCTAATGTAAAATTGGATATGCACGAGGTAAAATGACATTTTGGGGGATTTTGGGGGCATAACAATACGGCCGTGGCAAGTTTGTTCATGTTTGTGGGAGGGGCCTAACGGCTAAAATCTAGCCGTGATATCTTCAACATAGGCTGGCATAGGCGATCGTTCAGTCTCTATAACCGGAGGTCTAGTGGAGCCAGACGTAGTCTCAGTGGAACAACCGACGGTATAGAGTAGGGTGTCTGAACGATTTTTCAATTTTCAATTTGGGATCGTTTTTCACCATTTTTGTTTGATATTTGAATTAAAAATGTAATCAGAATAATACATTTCAAATTTCAAGTCTCGCCGATGTTTCTATCAAAAGATACAGCCCCTTCAAAACGCTGAAATATTCATAGCATTTTGCTCAGAATCGACGAAAAAGACGTACACGCAGAGTTATGTTGTTTTGCTAAATTTAGCCAAACAGCTGTATCGCGCGATATGCAAGCGTATGCATATCGTACGCAAGTTGCTCAGCCAATGCGCGACTTGCAAGCTTGAGCTACGCTGTCTCCGCGACACGTGCCATTGACTAGTATGGTTAGCGTTCGTCGCACAAAAAACCCGGAAGTGAATGCACGTTATAGTCAATGGCAATATCGCGGAGATGTCTCCGCGATATTGCCATTGACTACAACGTGTATTCACTTCCGGGGTTTATAGTGGGAACGGCCATCCATACTTTCATTCACTATAAGCGCACATGTTACGCGATGTAACCATGGTTTGGACTGAGCGGAGCTCACGCCTCCCTAATTAGCTGATTCCAAAAATGTGGGAGGGTATTTTCAAACTGTTATAACAAATGATCCCTTGGGGCTAGCAAAAAAAAAAGCATCTGGATATTATCCTTACGTCTAGCCCTGCTTAAGCCGCGGGGCGGCAGCTCAGGAAAGTGGCAAATTTTGGAGCTAGGATGCAAACAACATTTCAATCGCTATTTTGACCAAGATATTTTTAGAATTCTGGGGGTGGCCCCCGATGGGGAATATGGAGAAAAACCTGCTCTTTCATATGACACCTCATTTATTGAGTTTCACCTTCAGGATCATTTGTTATAAAGGTTTGAATTTCAAATTTTTTCATAAAATCATTGACCAATTTTGGATGGTCGCGCAATGCACGTAGACCACATAGGGAAGCGTACAATCTCTATGGGAAGGGTTTTAGCACACAACATTGGGTGCGCGATCAGACACCCTATATAGAGACTGAAGCTTTCGGTCTATTACAGAGCGTGCTCCCTTTTGGGGGTGGGTGCAGGGCAGGGAGGGGGAGTTTCCTTTCTCCTGTGCAAAGCGCGGAAGTTTTGATGTTTATTAGAGAAAGAAGACGATTCGTTGTACCGTTCTCGACTCTTCTTAATCCTTGTCTGAATTCAATTTTTCCCCTCCCGCACTTGCGGAAGATTTGATCATTTGACGTTCCATTTAATTATTAGAGTAAGAAGATGATTCGTTGTACCGTTCTCAACTCTTAATACTTGTCTGAATTTAGTTCCCCGGGCCCTAACGCCCCCCCCCCCCTGGCTACACGCCTCAGGCCTAGACCCTGGCTAAGCCTATTCTTTTTTTTTAACATGGCAAATCATGATCATGCGATCAGGTGACTGTTGCATCACATTCATTTGTCACAACCTGTCCTTGCGTTCTGATAACCTCATTCAATCTAGACTAGAGGTCAACATAATCTCAATTATAAGAAAGTGTTTATGATCAGAATATAGACTCTACTAGAATCTACCCCAACATGTAAACTGTAATATTAGCCTAGGTCTCACTCATAATCACACGTACGCGACACCCCGGTATAGACCTATCTACCAAAACGTAGACCGAAAGCTTCAGTCTCTATACCGTCGGTTGTTACACTGAGACTACGTCTGGCTCCACTAGACCTCCGGTTATAGAGACTGAACGACTGCCTATGCCAGCCTGTGTTGAACTTATTCCGCTAGATTTTAGCCGCTAGGCCCCTCCCACAAACTTGCCACGGCCGTATTGTTATGCCCCCAAAATCCCCCAAAATGTCATTTTACCTCGTCCATATCCAATTTTAAATTAGGCCTAGGCTATAATACATCGGTTCCACTTACTAATTTGATGTAAATAATCCGTTTAATGGTCCCTTTTAAGGAAATTATGGGTCAAAATCGACATCCATGTTGAAAATCTTGCAAGCCGTCCGTTAAACTCTCGCTGCCGTCAATCTCATCCCTTCTAGTCTACGCCGAAGGCAAAATGATAATGAAGGAAAAACTGTGCGCCATCTACACGTTCGTAATGGCGTTATCACAGTTTTTTCCTTCATAATCATTTTGCCTTCGGCGTAGACTAGAAGGGATGAGATTGACGGCAACGAGAGTTTAACACGGCTTGCAAGATTTTCAACATGGATGTCGATTTTGACCCATAATTTCCTTAAAAGGGACCATTAAACGGATTATTTACATCAAATTAGTAAGTGGAACCGATGTATTATAGCCTAGGCCTAATTTAAAATTGGATATGGACGAGGTAAAATGACATTTTGGGGGATTTTGGGGGCATAACAATACGGCCGTGGCAAGTTTGTGGGAGGGGCCTAGCGGCTAAAATCTAGCGGAATAAGTTCAACACAGGCTGGCATAGGCAGTCGTTCTGTCTCTATAACCGGAGGTCTAGTGGAGCCAGACGTAGTCTCAGTGGAACAACCGACGATTATAGAGACTGAAGCTTTCGGTCTAACCAAAACGTAGCCCTGAACTTCGGGGCGGCATCACATTCGAGGACCGCTGAGCTTCATGTAACACGCGTTAAACGTCGCGCAATTGGATGACGCAATTATTCGTGAAGATATCGCACTCAAATACTCTAGAAAAGAAAAAAAGTTTGAATTTAAATGTTGAAAATCTGGTAAACTTACCCCTTCTCTTCGAAACATTGAACTTGCTTGGGCCTTGAGTCAATTTATACATGTTTTAATGGAAAAATTGTGAAGACGTTCGGCATCGCGTTTCAAAACAAATTTACTATTTCAGGCGATAGCTGCTAGGTAATCGATCTCATTGAATAATAAATATTATTCTTATTCCAGGAAGATAAACAAAAATTATCAATTTCTATTTACTTTTAGGGTAATTTTTTTTCATTGTTTTTTATCTGTTGGGTTTTTAAAATTATATTTTATATATTTGATGAATGGAATTGAATGAATTTTTCACTATGCTTTTATTTCATACAAAATTAATTTTACAAATAATGTCTAGAGACTGAATGCATTTTTAAATACCATAGATAGAGTCTTAAAAATCCTCCAAATACGTCATAAGCACTGCTGGTGTAGTGGTATCATGCAAGATTCCCATTCTTGCGACCCGGGTTCGATTCCCGGGCAGTGCACTCATTTTGGCATTTCAAAATTCAACTTTCTTAAAGGTGAAATTCAAAGAAAATCAGAAATACATCAACTAATGTTTCACTAGAAACTGGTAAGCTAACAGATGGCCATCGGACAAGTTTTAGGTCAACTACATACCAGGTGATTTAAAAAAATACAAATACAACCACCTCCATAGCAGCTTGGATATACGAGAGATTTGCCTGAAAAATAACGATGTTTTAATGATGTCACTGTATGGACCAACACTGCCCAAGCAGACGACATCCCATAGAGAATGAACGTAATTGCAAAGCTATTATTTCTCAAATTATAACGAGTTTAGTGTATATAAAAGTAATGGCATGTCAAACCATTCAAAAGGGGATATGACCCGATTCTGATAACTAAAATCTATTGCTTGTAAATACACAGGATAGGGGTTAATTAACAATCAAAGAAACCAGACTTTCAAATTGATAAACCCCCGGAATGATATTAAGGACATTTGTTCCCTCTTGAAACGCCGAACATACCCCGGTGTGTGCAGCTGAATATACATAATAATAATAATAATAATAGCTCGTTCTTATATAGCGCTTTTCAGGACCGGAGGCCCTCACAAAGCGCTTTACAGATAAGTATATTATTACCCCGGTCATTGGATTCAGGCTTACCCGCACACAATGTATGCACATTCTCCACTCCCTGGGGAGCATTCCATCCAGGCGTCATTTATACATGCGCACACTTGCTAATCTAACCACATAAGTTAGCTTTCGCATCCTACCGGGTACCCATTTAACACCTGGGTGGAGAGTGGCAAATGTAGATCAATGTCTTGGCAAATGTAGATCAATGTCTTGCCAAAGGACATTAGTGCTGCGGCGTGACTTGAACCACGGACCTTGTGATCCACAGTCCGGCGACTTATCCACTCGTCCACAACACCTCTACTATACAATGGCATCTTATTTTGTTTACAAGCGACAGATTCCTTTATTTTTTGTATCGCTGCATTTTTCATTAAAATAAAATCATGTGCGGGGTTTAGAGCGAGGCAATAGATTATACATTTAGCCTGACGGTAGTGAAGTAAGAAAAAGAACTCAAGAGAAGATGAAAACGCAGGCACTGAAAATGTGTGAGATGTCATGGGAAATCGTCTGCTTGTGCAAGTCATGTCCATACTGTGATCTCACACATCCCAGCAGCGTTCGGAGAGCTCTTCAGGTGCTATGCCGGGGTTGTATTTAAGCGTTTTGAAATTTATAATAATCATTACTTTGAATGTTTCCAAGCATTGAATTTTGATAACCTTGTCGAATCAAAGTTTCAACTTTGCAATAATGAAAATAAAGTTAGTTTTTAAATTCAATGAATATCTACTTTAATGTCAATTTCACAGCTAAATATTTTCCACACTTCATAGAGATTCCAACAAGGGAATGCAACACTCAATTTAAAAGTTGATCTTTTATCTCGATCAATCATAATGTAAAAATGTTTGAACAGGAGATTCTCTTTGCACCCATTTACCAAACAAGAAAAATGAAGTGAGAGGAAAAGCGATTGAGGAAGAGAGAATATTTTTCTTCACACTTCCAAGTACAATCACATTTTATTTCTTGCCATTGCCATTTCATTTTTGTTCTTGTTGGGGGGGGGGGGGGGGGAGGGCTGCATGTGCCAAACCAACTAATCAAAGCTATCAAATAGGTATCAATATTCACACTAAAAATGTAACACAGCAGGGAGGCAAGAGACTAAAATTGAAATTGCCATTGAGAGATTTAATATGGATATATTTTGAAAACATGATTAGGGTAACAAATGATCAATGTAATTGCTATCATTTTTTGCAGCACAGATAAGAACATAAAAGCAAAATTTACAAAATACAGGCAGACAGATGATTTAAAGAAATACTTTTAGCAGTCCACATGCATGATATTTCACTTTTGCTTGGCATTACCAATGAATTATCACACATGCAGCTAAAATTGTTGCCCCACCTGGGAATTAATCAAGTTTCAGAGAGGGTTCAGGTATTAAAAGGGGGATTTATGATGATGACCTTTCCTTATGGCACGTTTCTCCTGAAGCTGGTGGTAATATTCTATCACTCTGTGTGACAAACTGAAAATCATATTTTTCAAGCATTTACAGGGGGGGGGGGGGCGTCGGAGGTCTAACCAGTAATATTCAATAAGATCAATTGGTAAATATAACCAGGATATATCATGCAAAGTCAAGGACATACAATTGATTTCTCTTGTACTGAACCACAAATTCTAGTGTTCTCCAAACTTGGATTACAAAAAAAAAAATCATCTACACGAGTTAAGTCCACCGCTTCTTGAAATAGCAATTGTATTGGATATGGAAATCTACTCAAACATTTTTTTTATTTAGGTTCTAAGTAATGGGAATACTAACAACTGGAATTTAAGTGATAAAATAGAAGCTAAGTAGACTTCAAATATTAGACAATCAAACTAATAGTCTGATGTCACAATGATTCTGAGCCAATTTAGCTGTTCCTTTTTCCAGGACTCACTTGGAATCCACTAAACTTAAGATTTCATTCATCACTTTTCAGGTCCTCAATCATTAAGCTTTATAACTTGAAATGTTTATATGCTATTACAAATTTGTCAAAATTTGGATCACAATCAGATCTTATAGTGTGCGGGGAGTTTGACATGGATGACACAAGACAGATATCTGAATGAGAAAAAATGTACTTAAAGAGAGAAGGCCAACAAATTCTTCGCAAAGACTCAAAAAGAAGACAAAAAGATAATAGAATAAAAAACAAAAAGGAATCAAGAAATGTATGTAACTGTCATAGAATAAACAATAAGAATGTAGCAAAACTTTATAATGTTTCCATTTGATTCCAAGTCCACAGATGAAAATGGTGATCATAAAATGAACATGTACCAATTAATCTATTTGTATTATAGCTTGATTCTTCTGGTCTGTTAGATGATTCTGCTTTCTCTGTTCCTTTCATAGGCCTTGATTGGTCAATATTTTCAGCTAGGGATAAATCCTGAGTCACTTTTGATAATTTCACATCAAGTTCTAACTGTTCTGATTTTGAGGTCTGATCCTGAGCAGAACTTCCATGACAATCATAAGATCCCATACTTTCATTTTTGAGTGGTGATCCTTTCTCATGTGCTCCACCATCAAGACGATCACTAGGAAGTATGGAGTCCTTGGCAGAAGATGATGTATTTGAGACTGGTAGCCCCTTCTCTAAAAGGGGTGGTGCGCTTTCAATCTGAGAGAGTTCTGAACCTGGTGCTAAAGGAGTTGTACTGAATAAACAGTCTGAGTGGACTGGTGACCCTATATTGTGGGTGGGTAATGTGTCACATGGTTGGGAGACAGCTTGAAGTGTGGTCCTGCACCAGTCTGCTCCATACGCAAGTGATCCATGATCCATGTAAGAAGCGATAACTGACATGGATCCATTCCCTGCATTAGGATGAAGAAATGAAGCAACAAAAGCGATCAAAAACGGAGTTTAAACTCAATAATTTATTTATTTATTATCATTAATCAACATACTGGCATCATGGCCTGGTGGATACGTCACCAGAGTGTGGATCACACTGATTCAGTTCAATTCCTGCCGTGACACTAATATCCTTTGGCAAGATATTAATTTATGCCTGCCAATTTCATCCAAGTGGTGTAAATGGGAACCCTTTAAAAAAATATCCTTGAATGCCAGAGTACCTTATCAGGACAGCTCGGCTAAGGATAATGGAAAGCAATTTCATTTACTCATTCATTAGTTTGCAAAGTGGTATCACAGAATGGAATTCAACAGGATGGTTCACAAGGGGTACACTTGGACATACCTGTATTTGCCTCATTGCAGTCAATAATGTGGAATCCATTGTGCATACAGGCTGCTAGCAGAAGGCTCCCATCCAGGGGACACCACTTCAACCTCCAGACCCCGCCCCCAACGGACAGCTCTGAGGTGGGGCATCTCATGCTGCGTGTGTCCCACAAGAAAACATTCTCATCGTAGCTGAGGATTGGAAATAAGGAAGAAGAAAAATGGTAATGTTAGAGGATTACTATCAAAAGAGGATTTAGTAACAAGGATAGAAATTTTGTTTTCCCAGCGAAGCCTTATCAGCATCCGGCATTGCTGTCCTTCCATCATTATTACCCCCAGCAACTGCCCATTTACACCTGGATGGAATGAGTATTTGCTACAGGACCAGGCTCAGATTCGAACCCCTGACAAATGTTCATGAAGCATATATTGGATGACAATAAACAAACAGCAATAATCATCATAGTATTATAGGACAAATTGTTTACAATTACAGATCAAGCAAATGAAAGACATTCATTTTACTGTCTATTTTTTTAAAGTTTTTTTCCTTCTTCACTCCTTTTTTCCCCCTTCCTTTTTTTAATTTCATAATTCCTTGTTTTGTAAGGGGAGCTATGGTAGTTTAAGAACCCTTCATAATCACACTAAATTTCATAACTCACCTTCCAGAAGCTAAGCAAAACTCTTTGAAAGGATTTGAGTGAAGACTACAAATTCCCATCATATGCCTGGTGTAGGACAAGATTCCAGGAAAGAAAAAGAGAAAAAAAATGAAACGAGAGATCAATTTGAATATCAAAAAAATATATAATACAGTGAAACCTGTATAGAAAAACCACCATAAAAGACACACAAAGGGATCCTTACACACAGGTGTTCTTTAACATTTGTTTCAATCGGAGAAGCATAATTTCAAAGGAAATACAAATTGTGGTCTTCATATACAGGTGATTGCTAGAACAGGTATTTAAAAGTTAGCCCAACATATGTAGCATGAAAACCATAATTCCTTTCAAAGCAAGCATACATATGTAACTATAAAAGTAATATACCTTTGTTTTTGTTGTTGTTGTTGTTGTGTTGTTTTTTTGTTTTTTTTGTTTTTTTGGGGGGGACATGTGCTTTGTGTGATGGGGGGGGGGGGGTGTGTACGTGTTTAAATCATTGTAGACCACACAGGTCAATAGTGAATGTGACTGTTTTAAACATACCACCAAGTAGTGTTAGATTAAATATGAAAACAACAAGAGTACAGGCCTATATTAATGAATTGCTATGAGCAATGTACCATTTGCTTATGCAGAAGTTATTACCTTTTACTTGTAAACAATGGCTGTTGGCAATCTGTCCGTGTGTCCCATCCCTTAAACTTACAGTCATCACCTCCTGTAAAGAAAAGAAGGAAAATACATTTAAAAAAACTCTCAAAACCATGAAAAACAAGAAATGATTGATGGATAAGTAAAAATATACAGGGGGAGTGGACAAACAAAGAGACAGGCAGGAATCAAAATAATGATATAGATGGAAGGGACGGGAGGGGGAAACACAGACAGAGATAAAAATAGAGAACTAGAAACCAAAAAGTAAGGGACTTATGTAATTTTTGTTTAATATGTAATTGTTTATCAATGTATTTTGTTTGTTATGGCGCTTAGAGACTTTGGTGGTAAGCGCTTTATAAGCACCATTTTTATTATTATTATTATGACTTGTTTGTATGCAATGCTGTACATACACTATCTATTTGTATCTTGTATTTGCAGAGCAGTTTGAGAGAATGCATATAAAACTTCTCCAATATGTTTTCTTTTCTTTCTTTTATTTCCTAATGATGAATCTTCTACTAACTAGGAGACATTGGCAAGACGATTAATCTACAATTGTCGCTCTTCATCCACCCAGGTGATGTAAAATGGGTACCTGGTAGGAATTTCTTGATTGCTTCGAGTCCCTTAGGGCAGCTGGGCTAAAGCCAGGGTATTGCTTTGAGCATCCCCTCGGATGGATACGTGTACAATATAAATGTAGGATTATTACCAGAGTAAACAACGGATGAAGACCAGTAGTTAAATGCTGTGATCCATGCTTCAAAGCCATGTGCCAACCACTGCTGTTGGACTACGAACGATGAAGCGCCCTCTTGTGCTGTACACAGAGACAGTCTCCCCTTTGAGTCACTACAGATAATACTTGGTTGGTTACTGGGATGCCAAAAGAAAACCCAAGAGGGAATTAATCACACCGTGTCCTTTACATGGGAAATAACGACAATGACTGAAACAGGTTTCCCACCTGATATTGATTTTGTAGAAGCTTGATACCAAAATTCAGTGGTTCAATGTAAACAGCAAGTCCATAGAATAAAGTTTCTTTGATTTTATTGAGACATACTTCTCAAAAAAATTGGACATCCATCTCCATATAACAGCTAAGACTTCATTGAAACACACTGCCACTGGTAAAAGTAACATGAATGTCATTGTATCATGAACAAAAGGCTTGTGCAGCATTTCACCTTTTGAATAATCACGAATCATCAATCATGTGATCGTGTACATTGTAGTAAATCAATTAGTAAATAAAATCATACAATTTCTTCACGATTACTGCTGTCACTTTAATAGTCATAAAGTTACCTAGCGTATTTTCCAGTCGACCAGTCAAGACTCAGACCAAGACAATCTTGTCCGAGGTTTGTTTTTGAAGAAGGGATCAGCTGACTATTTACCTGCCATATTGCAAGAGAGCACAAGATATTCAAAAAATTAATAGTCATCAGTCAGGTTCACAAGACAATCTGTAAACTTATAGTTTAGGTCATGGTTTTAAACTTCAAGGTTATCTCTTAGTTACAGACTGTGCGGACACAATCCCGGTTATGAAACTCAAAGTTACAAACTACAAGCAATCCTATGGTTAGCAAAATAACTACAAGCAGCGGAAGGGGTGTGGTGGGGGGGGGGGGGGGGAGGGACTCCACTCAAATTTAATGCCCTTGTGGATGCAAGTTATTTCGAGGTTAAGCCAGCTTAAAAAAATCACCCTGACCCTACCTTAACTGAAACTCCAATTCTGCCCCTAACTCCAGTACATTGTACTGATGCTTAGCGAGGTATTCTATTCTGCAGTGCAGTTAAGCCTTGGGGGGGGGGGGGGGGGGGGGGGGGTAATTAGCATACCAACTTGATTTTAGCTACCTCTGTTTTATTTAGTGTGAGGAGTTGTAGATCCCCTTCTGCATCAACTAGTCCAAGATGTGTTTTGCCATCAGTCAAATGTTGATTCCTACAAGAAACAATCAACAAATAATACAATTATTGCAAGCTTATGACTGCCAATCAGACTTGAGTACAGCCACATCCTAAGACCCTTTTGAACCTTTTCATCCTTTGGAATCATGCAGTTTAAAGCAAATTATCATTCTATTGTTAGATGAACTGTTGCTACCTGTGACATAGATTTGGTTTGATATCTACTCTCTGACAATATGTAGCTACTGTAGGCATTTAAGTTTACAACTGAGTTTATCATTTCAATTTCATTTCATTTTATTTCAATTTATTGTCCAATATTGAAAATTTGTTTTGCTCACATTTTACAAACTTACAAAGAATAAAAATAAAGTATACATACATAATATATATAAAATACTTTGACATAGAAATCCTTCAAAATATTGCTATACAGCTATTTTCTTACGTTTTTGTATACAAAATAAGTGAATCATGTTATGTATAGGCAATGCCTTCCGAAATAATTCTGTCATCATAACAAAACACACACACCTTTCAAATTACCTTTACCCCCCCCCCCCCCCCCCCTCCCCCTTTATCTCTCCCCCCTCTCTTTTTCCTTTCTTTCAATTTAATTATTATTATTATTTTTATTTTTTTATATTTTTTTTTTTTTTTTTTTTTTTTGGGGGGGGGGGGTGGATGTTTGTTTACAATTTTAGTCCAGACATTATTTCAGTGCTCATTTAGAGACATATATCAGCTGAATATGGAACATGGTATTTGTACCCCATTCTCACCATTTGATATCTAAAATTCCAGGCATATCAATCTTTTGAACTTCTTCAAGGGTCCCATTCACATCTGATGATAACGTTTCTTCCACTTGAAGCTTGTAGAGTTGGAGGTGTCCCTTCCTGGTACTTTTTCTATTATCTGTTGCTTCATCTTCAGAATCCTATTAGTAGAGAGAGAGTGGGGAAGGGGTGGGGATATTAAGCAGAGAGAATGATAAAGACAAATAAAGGGAAATCAGAAGATGTGGACAGTAGTACAGGAGGGGGAGGGGGTGGAGATTGAGATACAATTTAAGAAAAGGGGATAGGGAGAAGAGAGATATTGGAGGGAGGTTTAGAACCAGGAGAGAAGAAAAAAGGAGAGGAGAGATTAAACGAGAGAGAGAGAGAGAGAGAGAGAGAGAGAGAGAGAGAGAAGGTGCCACATTTTAAGGTTTTGATTTATGGCTCATTTAGCTTTTAAAATTAACTCAAATATAAGACATACACCATAATTTTGTTTTTAGTTTATAAGCAGACATGAAAGTAGGTTATCAATTACAACAAGTTTGATGCTTTGTATTATGTTTTCTCCTTTTAACTCATGATTTGGCATTATAGTAACGTAAGAAAACAATCATGAGATATTTATTTCAGAATTTGAACCATAAATACCTTGCATACCTGAGCTTGACCATTGCCTGTGCTTGCATCTTCTTGAAGTTCATACGTCCCACAGACTACATAGTCCTGTAGAGTTGGGGTAGGACACCACTCTACTGAGTCTGCATAGAGTCCAGTATCAATCTTGCATTGTGTTGCAATTCGACCAAGCATGTTGCCAGCTTCAAACATTGTTGAGTTCTAATCTACAAATAAAAAAGAATAAACACATTTTAACATTTCAAAGGATCCTAAAAAACAGGAGTACCCGCAGCCAGCACTATAGTCAATAGTTGATACCGCATTACCACTACAGGCAAAACAATTGGGAACTAAATGACAAAGAAGATCAAACTTTTTGGATTGGTGATCGACCTTTATAATCTATTGTCCTTAAAATGATTTATTTTATAGTTCACTTTGTTTTTGTCTGGCCGGGTTACCTCCATTACCGTAAATGAAACCAAAAGAATACTTCCTCACTTTCTCATTATTTTCTGTCCCTTTTCAAACCCAACATAATTAACAGTCCTGATCTTCAACTTATACTACCCACATGAATAAAAGCTAGTTAAAACTGCAAGCCCATGGCCATGCAATAAAGTAATGCAGCTGCAGTAGGGTCTACATCTTGTATATGACTGCTGAGAAAGCATAAATGCTCGTTCGTAAGCAACCGGAGGACTGACAGCTAATTTAGGTCCTCTCCGAGTGACCTGGTAATCATGAGGATTTTTGTCTTACCAAAGGACACTAGCGCATACACGTATCGACTTGGTACCTGGGTCGCCGGATTACGAGACCATGCACTGCTCTACCAACTGACATTACCACATGCAAAATTCAATCTTCGAAGAGATCATGTGAAAAGCGACACTGCTCAGTCATATATTACCAGTATTTATAGGCCTGGTCACTCATGTCACTCACAAGGGTCGCAGTCTATAAACAATAAAGGGACTTTTAGATTTACACAACGCGCGAGAGCGTGGACTGCTGCGTGTGAGGCACTGGGCCGTGCGCGGCATTGGCTTAAAAGGATGTGTACGTCACATTACCTTAAAAGGATGTCACACATGGCGGTCCACGTTCTCGTCATGTAAATCTAAAAGTCCCTACTTAACTGAGTGACTCAGACACATCACAGTTGAGCTGACACAGTCAATATTAGACCTAATTATAATTTAAAGTTATCGTCATGATTCATTGATGGTTATTGAGATTATCTAGATCTATTTCCAATCATGAAACTGTACAGTAGGACTATAGCGCAGCTTTCGTTTAGTTTAGTCTTACTTCATCTGATAGGGTTCACATATTCAGCAGTAACACTTACACATCCAGTTCTTTATTCAGTCAGCTCAGCTCAAGCTCAGCTATACAGCTTTACAGACTAGTACAGCTACAGTGCTGTGCACGTGCAACCATATGACTGCCGCTTGTTCTATGCGTTTCCTTATATTTCTTTTCATTTTTTATCCGCTCATCAAAGCCACCGTATTTCATTCGTTTTTAGAAAATTTTACGATAATAATAACAAAAGTCAAGACGTTACCAGTGCTGTCAGATCAGGCGTCATAACATTGCAACTGTGGCCCTCACCTGCATTAAAAAGAAGCGATTAGATAGCTGAAGATGGTAAGATGTTTATTTCGGCAGAGATCTACCAGGTACTCGTTTTATTGGCAATTCATAATTATTAGTCTAACTTTGTCGGTTGCGAATTGCGTCAGCGTCAACAAGGAAATATCCCGTCCGCTCCTGTGCTGTGTGCAGCTGCAGCAGCATACGCTGTCACAGAGATCTCCCATGTTTACAAATCGAATCGGCGCGGCGGGGTCCCGGGTGCGTTATTTTTTTATGCGGCACAGATTGGGGCGTTTTTTTAAAAGGGGTCTTGATTTCCAGACTAATACTGGTCGTGTGCGTACTAGACAGTATAAGTAGTAGAGGTCTGTTTTTAATAGTGTTACATGTAATCCACTACCGCATGGAAAATCATTACATCAACAATTAAAATCAAATTGGAAATCTGAAGAGGAGGCAGCACATGAATAAGGAGAACATCACAATAATTAGTCAATAAAACTTAACTAACTGAACTGACGAAGAGGAATGTTATCTAAACAAATAGTTCGCGATGGATATACAAACTTCTTCGCAGCGCTAATGCGCTAGCGAACATGACTAGTCTCACGTACGTGCAGACACTATTCAGAAGGGAAAGAACATACTTCCCATAGGTTTAACACGCGCCATGCCCCAATCTGTGCCGCATAAAAAAATAACGCGTCCCGGGTGTGCAATGTGTGAGACAGAGCTCAGAGTCCATCATGAAACCATCATGGCCATGGGTTATGTAAATGAGGTTTTAAAGTTTATTAAGTTAACCCTCCTTTGTGAATTTGGGCCTGAGAATTGAGTGAGAGTGTGTGCCCGTCATATGACGTGCACTTGTCATTTTTTATTTTTGTTCCCTTTCATTCATTCTCTTAATCTTATTAGAGTAAAGGAGCCGGTTTTCGGCCACTTAAGACAAAATCCTATTTTTTGGACCCTTTAGTCTTTACTTCCTATTTATTATCATTTTTTGTTCAAATCATGAAGCAAATATTATTATTATTTAAACAAAACAAGAATCCCAGAAAAAAATCACGAATTGCCATGACAATATTCATTTCAATTTTCACTGTTTCGGAGTCAGTTTTCGGCATAGCGTACCAGTTTTCGGCCGCATGTACAAAGTAAATAGGAAGCGCGCGCACGCGCCGTGCGTTTCCGCGCTGATCTATAGCACTAGCGGGCGGAGCAGATATCCAACGCCGGAGCTCGCCAGGCCGAAAACTAGTACTGCGGTGATCGGATATTGGAATCTGAATTAGACAGAGATATCGTGTGTGCGTTGCGGTGTGCGGCTGCATTGATTTAATACATGCGATGAGATACTTTTGAGCTTGCGACTAGCACAAAATCGGGCTCTAAATCTGAAAAATACTTGAAATAAAGCTCATTTTATGGTACCCATATTTCTTACAGACACGCGTAAGATACTCGATTTTTCAGATTCGGGTAGCGGGACCACCGATTACATCGCTAAAATGTGATATTTTAGGATATATTTTTCATTGCAAATGTGGTTCTTCAGTGACACTGGCATGGTATGGTATGTGTGGGATATGTGTTATGCTATTTTGCGATGTATTTTAGAGGGATTTTACCTTGCATCCAACCAATCGGCCGAAAACTGGAGCTGGCCGATTACCGGCTCCTTTACTCTAGGGGTCTAAGTGACTCGGTAACATTGTTACAGGATGATGAAAAAAAACTGTAATTTTTGTATGAAATGTTACTTATTAATTATATTTCTTCTAGAGTAGATTACTAACCCTCTAACATGCAAAAATCCAGGAGATATAAAGTTAAAATCACAAAGATATTTTGGTTTCTTTGAAGGCGTCATGCTGTGCAACACCCTCTATCAGTAAATTCTCCCAACCATTTTTGAATTTCCCTACCGGTAATCGTTTTTTCCATGAAAATAAGACATAAGAGTTAAGACAGGCTTTAACAAATCTTTCAATACCACCCTTGCACGTTAAGAACCCATTGCACTATTCGTATAAGAGAAGGGGGAACACCACCCTTGCACGTTAAGAACCCATTGCACTATTCGTATAAGAGAAGGGGGAAACCCCGGTGTAATGGTCCACCTGCACACCCCAATCAGGCCGAGTATACGGCATCTGCAAGAATCTTCAGTATTGAAGGAGGCAGATTATCTTGAAGAAGAAGAGGGGGGAACACTTAATGACTGGAATGGTATGTAGGGTCTAGGGCCAATTCATTGATTTGTGACGATTTACATACACAGGTAGTCTATTAATCCATTCACCTAAAAATTGTAATAATATAGCTGGGAGAATTAAGGAATCGATCAGATCAGTTTTTCCCAATTTTTATCATTAATAATGGTCTGCTTTCACTCAAACTTTTAGATTATCTTAAGTTGCACATCTAGCATTTGAGTCACTATAGCTTAATTTCCCTCGGCATTTTCTTTCATCTGAACAATGTTACCAAGTTCCTTTAATGTTCAATTGTCTCTTGGCTCTTGCTTTTCAGTATTAGAGTTTTAGATGTCTATAGACATACTATTTTGTTTATATTTTTTAAAAAAGAGTGGAAGATACATGTACATGTAGGTAGTAGGCCTAATAGGTAGTGCCTTGTCAATTGTGACCACCAGTACCACAACTTACGAGAGACACCACGCCACAATTTCCTTGTTTAGATGCTGAAAGAGGCTTTTGAAGAGTTGTGGCATGGAAGAGTTGTGGCATAGAAGAATGGAAGTAGAAGTTATATTATAGTACTAGACTAGATCTACTTTTGTTAAAGAAAATGATGATAATGTAATTTCTTCCTGCACCATAAATTATTTTTCCAAACAGGAGATCGAGGCCGAGGTGAATGATCTTAATCCCATGTTGGATTCGCTGGCTGACTGGAAGCACATTATAGTCCGCGCAGATGCGTGGTTACAATGGGACGAAGACTCTTACCCGTACATCATGTGTGCTGCAATCACTGTCTTCTACATGTAAGCCCCAGGGCTGCGTTTCATGAAACCGTCATAAGTACAAGTTCAGAGACATCCCATTGAAACACATGTTAAACTTAATACACACATTTGAATGGGATGTCTATGAACTTGTACTTATGACGGTTGTGTGACAAGCTGCCCTGCTTCTTTATTCCCTAAAATGTCTAGAATATGTTCAAAATCAATTTTGTAAATATAATTGTTGTATAGTAAGTTGTTTAGCTTATTGAATCCCTAAAGTGGCTCTATGCTTACAAACAATTTCTTATTTATCATGCTGCAATATAAAGTGGCAGTTGCCACACCATAAGAAGTGGACATTTAATCACAGTTGTTGTGATTAAATATATGTATTATCCTGCCTCTCAAAGTCAAAATGAACAATGAGTTATGTGTTTGATAGTAGTAGTATCATCATCATCATCATCATATCATTTTATTATTATTATTGTTATTATCATTTATATTATATACTATTAATATTATTTTTATTATTGAATAAACTAAATCATTATCATCATTGTCAATATTATTATGATTATGATCATTCTTATCATCACTGATCATTATCATCTTAATAACTAGGATTTCTCTTCTTTCCCCTATGTCACTGTAGCTTGATTTGGTTGATCCAGCCCTCTATCCTTACCACAGTGTCTCTCATCATCATGACGGTGTGCCTTCTAGACTTCATGGTACCCAGTGTCTTCAAGGAATACTTCAAGAAGCAAGCATGGTAGGCATAAGCTTGACCTATGGCATAACCCTGCGCTGTGTGTTAACGTGCCCCTCCCCTTGTTTCATAGATGCAGGCTATATGAACTGGAAAACACTCCGTCTCTCGGATAGGACATTAAATGGAAGCCCTGTGTAGAGGAGAGTCACCACCTTTGCATGTTAAGAACCCACTGTACTATTTGTATAAGTGTAGGGAAAACCCGGGTGTAGTGGTCCACCTGCACACCCACAATCAGTTATACCAGTAGGAGGGTTAGACTGATTCAGTTCGCTTTTCGCCTCCCAGGCACATGTGACGCCAAATACTTAATAATACATGTATTAATAGTAATAACCTATTAGCTCTGAGATGTTGGTAGCTTAGGAAAATGTAGTGACATGAAGAGGCGCAAAAGGTGTAACAATTAATGATGTTTGTGAATTTAAGAAACCTTTGGTACATATCTGAATAAAAGTTTGTGTAAAATTAAGCCAAATCAAGGTACAGTCAAACCTGGTTATAGCGACCACCTGTCTACAAAGACCACATTTTTTTGTTTCCCTTGAAAATGGTTTCTCATTGAAATATGTACTAAAAGAACCTGTACATAAAGACCACCTGTCTGTAAAGACCACTTTTCTTGTCTCGCTTGGGTGGTCTTTATAGACAGGTTTCACTGTAGTACATGTATTTGCCAGCTTCATATCCTAACGATCTCTAAGTGAAAATATTATGATTTTCAACAATCATGCTCATTGCATTCCTGTCCAGACTAGGGACCGTTCTATTAGCGCCACTACATTTTGCTTTGCTACCTTTGAGTGTACAGGTGTATGTCTACATGTATGCTGCGTCAGTAAAAAAAAGTCTATCACACACAATGTAAATGTGATAGTTTTCACTTTAATACACTACAGCCACCGAGATGTGCAATCTATCAATTGTCATGTGACCTCATTTAGACCATTGTCGTTGCAAGATTCTTAGTATGCGTGATATGGATACAAAATAATAATAGAGGGTTACAGTATATTTAAACCCCCACTGTACTACTTGTAGCTACTTGCTCCCTCTATATAGAAAACAATGCCTAATCGGTGACCAATGGTCCCCCATGATCCTCTTTTTCTTATGTTAATTGAGAGCTGAGTTGATGAGATAGCCACCTGTCAGTGACCACCCTGGGTGGTCTAATCCCACCTAGTGAAACTAGTACAGATGGCCTTTAAAGCTATTAAACAGTGCTGCATGATTTTAAGAAAGAGAGGGAAGATCTGTGGCAATGCTTTGGTGATTAATTGCTCCAGGCTCCAATTTAGAAAGATATTGGATGAACGCTGGGTTACGATTGTATTCATCATCATCATTCAATGTCCAAATTTTCTTCTTCTGTTTTTCATGGTCTTTCTCCAAACACTGCAACTTCAGTACAATTGTTTTGTTTTGACAGATGGCGAATTTAGCTCCATTTAAAAGAGAGACCAGATTGAGGAAGTAGAGATATTATGCAGAATGTACATTACAACATAGGTAGAATCACTCTGAAATTGAGATTTGAATTTCATGTTTCTTGTCACTTTTAGGTCAGAATTTAAACAGAGGAGGTATGAAAAATGCTGCAGTAAACTGCTCAACACACAGAAGATGTTCATGTCAACTGGAAGGTGGATTCTAAACTTACGAGAAAAGAAGCCCAAATATGTAAGTAAGATAAACATTTTTTACCCTCCCTAGCAAGCAAATGAATTGTATGGTGGTTTCTAAATCTGTAGCATTGTAAAACTGACAATTCTTCAAAAGCATTGGCAGGAGTTACAAATGTTTAACTTTATCAAAATCTGTATGAAATGTCATTTAATACAATAGGAGTATATATGCTCTACGGCTCAAGTTGATACTAGCAACAGATTTTTTTTTTTTTTTTATGGGATTAACCCATTATTTATAATTATGTACTTCAAGATGAAATTTGCAAGTGATCAAGAAAAGCAAAACTCAAGACACTTTCAAAAATTGATGATGTATCTCCTCTCCTCTCCCCTTTTAATGTAACCCTACTGTACTCTAGAAATGGAAGAGTATTAAAAGTTCTTTCACAAATGAGTTATTACAATTTTGGAGAAACTTGTGAATGATTTGATAGTGTTTGGGTGTGTGTGTGTGTAATTGGGTTTTTACAGACATGTATCAATCAAATATGATTATTTACGTCTGGGGACCGACCTTTAACGTCACCATCAGAAAAGGTTTAAATTTATCTTTTTTCTTTTTCCTGTTTGATATACAGTACTTCCTCGGAGCTTCAGTGACACTTCTAACTATTGCATTTGTGGGCAATTCCATCCATGGTCTCTTTCTAGCATATCTATCCAGTGAGTATAATTTTTAATTATGATATACGTGTATAATCCTTGACATGGCACTAATGTCTTTAGGCAAGGCATTAGTCTACACTTGCCACTCCATACCCAGGAGAGAAATGGGGACCTGGTAGGATGACGAAAGCCTTTGTGTAGGTAATTGCCATATGCCCCCATGGTGACCATTTGGTAGGAATACTCCCCAGGGAGTGGAGAAGGTACACATAGTGTGTGAATGAGTTCGATGACAGGGGTAATGAAATCTGTAAAGCGCTTAAAGACTGTATTTCGTTTTAAGCACTATATAAATCGAGAATATTGTTAAATTTAAATACGCAAACATCATTTTCCAAGGAATGGGCATATATTTGGACGGATTTCACATTATTTAGGTGAGAGGCATGTCAGCCTCAAAACTTTGTTTGATACAAGTATAACTTAGTATCACATAGTAATTTGATTACTTTGCAATGGTGAGTAAATTTGTGTCTTCAAATTTAAACATGTTTCCTGAATTTCCTTTATGTGTATGTGTTCTTCTATCACTACACACGATGTGCTTGAAAGAAAAAAGAAAAAGTAAAATTATTTCAAAAGCTAGCTAGACAAACACTTTATCAAGTTGTATGCAATGAAAAATCCAGAACCTAAATAGGTAATAGTGAACAAACATGTAGCCCCTCTGCCTCTACGTGAAATACAAGTAGAAAGTTTGTGAAATCGGCCATTTCAATGTGTGTACTTGTATCTAGAGTAAATTTTCAGGCCTCATTTTCTTTCTTTTTTTTTATGTGTCTTTCATTTCTTCCCCCCTCAGCTATATTTCTGGCATTGTTTCCCGGTCTGCTGTACTATGGAATCTTAGCGTCGTGGTACGCTAAGGTGCTTGAGGTGTTTGTCAATCTGCTCAAAGGACACAAAAAGAGAGATTAGTTTTGATCAAGTCTTCATACATGTAGTTACCGGTACAGCTCTTAGTGTATGACATCGATGCAACACCACTTCCATGGTGAATGAACATTGGAACCTTGAAGTTCTGATTTTGCTGTTGTCTTTCATCATCTATGGTTAAATCTTCTAAGGCATCCTCAGGATGCCTGAAGGGCCGCAGTAGATGGAGGTCATCAAGGCTTATTGAAATGTTGCCCACAAGTCTTGCTAAATGTGACATGAAAATTCTAGAACACTGAAGGAAATCTTACAAAGTTGCTGGTGCTCTATCTTACCATTGATTACCTAATGTGTTTGATGAGCCCCTCCCCCCTCCCCTGCCGTGACATGACTCTTTTTTTAAATGCAGTGATATGATGTTGAACATGCACAACTTGTATTGAAAATATAATGATAATAATGATAACTGTAAAACCCAAATACTCGATAACTGTTCATGACATTTTTAGGTTATCATTATTCATGTATGCACGGATGGGTTATTCTATGATAGGCAAGTGGAAGTATTATTTTCAAGAGGGCAAACAAAAAGTTGTCTTGAAGTACCTACATTACCTTTGAAAGTGACAATGCTAAAATATTTACAAAATGGGACGTCTCCATGTTTAAAAGATAAGAGGATATTTTGGGGGTCATTTGTACTTACCTTATCTATGAAACGGTCTATTAAAGACTCATTACTGCTAACATTTCCTATTTTGGAGGAGTGATTCTATTTTTCTAGAGTTATGAACCCTTCATTCCTCTTTGTTTCTTCTAAAAAACATCTGTAAAGAAGCATTATATCCCTGATTTTGGCTATGGAGATTCCTAATTTGTAGTGTGGAAGGTATGATAACTTGTAAAAACACATGTGGAAGGAAGTCTGTGAACATCTCAACATAAGGTAGTTCATGACCGATTTGTACTTCCTTCCGTTTCTTTTCCTCTTGAAAGTTCACAGGCCAATTAAGTTCAGTATGCAACTAAGTCAGAAATTCTGAACAGAAATACAAACTAAGGTAATTATTTGAGTATGGCAGAATTTCGGTGGGGAAGTGGGAGTTGCTTGCATTTTAATCCCTTCTGCTATGAGTTATGTTCCATCTTTTTGTAGTTGCAGAAAACTTATGTGTTGAGATCATTGAATTTTTTTATTTATTTATTTATTTTATTTTATTTTATTTATTTTTTTTTTGGGGGGGGGGGAGGGGGGGGGGCAAGAGTTCTTTGCTTCATCCATTACCTTATCTGCAAATGTAATAATGATAGAACAAGCATTTTGAAAAATATGTTAAGAGTGAAATATAGATCAAACAACTTGATTTCAATAAGATGAAGATATAATATATTGTATGTTAATATAATGTATGTATTTTATATGTTATTCCATCCACCTGTATCTAACATTGAAAATAATTTGTATATATTATGGTATTTACAGTATGTATATAAATTTAAGATATTGTATTATTGTTGTTCCAAACATTGTTATTCCATTACTTGTTGTAGTTTGTATGTATAAATGTATATAAGATTTCTCTATATAAGTTGCATGTATATAATTCATGTTATTATTACTCTTTTACAGTTCCATTTTGCTGAAATATTCATAATTGCATTTAAATGTGTTCGTAAAAGATCTAGCAATCCCTATAGGTGTCAAATGGAAGATATTCTAACAGATTAATGATTAATGATTATAACTGAAATTGCATAGAACAATGCCCTTGCTCATAACATTTACTGAATTTGTTCTTTGTTTTACAGTAATTTCTGTTATGAAAACAAATCTATCTATATGATTTTATCCAGTATATGATCAAAGTCAACTTGTTGAATTATAAGTCTAGTCAAAATTGATTAATTAAACAATTGTAAAACCTATTTTCAGGTCTTTTTCAAGTTACATTATTTGTTGATCCATACAAAATTTGGAAATTTTTGAATTAAATACTAGAAGTAGTTGTACATGTTTATCACGATTTTGACAACATACATGTGATTGTATTTTTTTGTGTAAAGCATACATGTAGATATGAGCACAATGGCTGTACTAATTCACACAATTTTCACCTTTCTATTTCTGATTTCATTGTATTGTTAAATTGCTTGTATGTACATGTATAAACCAAAGATATTATAGAAAGGATCTCCTTGGCCATATTTTGCCACGATTGCAAATAAACAACAGAGTACATTGTAAATGCAGCTGAGGGATACTGCAGAAAAGAATATAGACAATCTAAATATCTAATCCCACTAATTCTTTGTGGTATGAATGTACTTTTTTAAAAGATGTGATGGTTTGTGAATGGTTCAAAGTGAATGGGAAAGAAGAAATTTGGGACAAGCAAACAAGGTAGAAAGCTTATTTGACTTTGACTTCAGTAAACATGTGTATTGTTCAGTAGGCAACATTCTACATTTTATCAAAATTTAAAAAGAGTTTGTTTATTTGTTTATTAGTATATATGTTTAATCATCAAAATATTTGCACCATTACCCAATGGTACAAAGAAAAAAAAGAGTCACACTTGATACTTTTTTTGGTTAAAGTTTTGATACAATTGTTACTTGTTGGTTAATGTTGAATTCTGAGGCAAATTATTAGTATTGAATTGTTCATCACGTGTTGATATTTGTAATGTTTGTAACTTTGTGCTAAATAAAAGTGTTTTATCTTGTTAATGATCTTTGATGAATTATAAATTTGTTGTATGATTTCTTTCTTTTCAAGTTCCATCTGATTCACATACTATGAATCTGAAAAACTTGAAACAAACACAAATGATCGAGCATACATTGAAAGGTTACATTGAGAATTGGCTTTATTCATTACACAGTATTCATTCTTTTTATATTTCATTTGCCACTGCATATTGCAAGGGAATTACATAAACAATTGACAATGTTAAAAACATATTACAATAATGTACTGTTAATTATGTAAACATATATGAATGCATTGTGCAAACACAAATTACCAAACAAATTTCAAAATGTCATGTTTACGAATACATCTGGATACAGGATGATAACATTATTGTTGTGTTTTATTTTGAAGAAAAATCAAGACCCAAACTACTCAAGACCCAAACTATCTATGCTCCCCCCCCCCCTTCTCAGGGAACAGAATTTACGAGACCAGAAGACATATAAATTTAAATAAACTTCATACAAAACAAAATAATCATCTGATGATACCTAAAGGAGACATAATCTTCAACACTATTGAAACAAACTACATGCAAACGTATGTTCTTGTACCTTAAACTTCCTCACAATTCTTCTTTTGACAAAACATGTAAATGGCACTAATTTTCTGAGTTGCACAAACGTGTGAATAACAATAAATGTACTGTACTTTACTGTATTTGTTTATAACTATAGAGTGAAGACCTAAGTAAACAAACAAAAGTAAAAGGAACATATTACATGATTTGCATAAATAATTGGTTATGTGTCTTAAACTGACTTCTTTGTTGAAACATATATAAGTACTATCAATGTAGAATAAACATCATGATACATACAAAATTCAATTCATAAGGTGAACAAAAATGAATATTTACTTCTTAAGATAGATATCATTTTTACAAAATAATCCTTAATGCTAAGGATATCATCAGAGATGCCAATTTCTTGACACAAAAAAACAAGACTGAATATCCTTTAAATTTTTTTTAAATTTTTTAAATCAGATTTTTGAATGAAAAATCAAGATTTTCACGAAAACTCTACACTATATACCATTGGCCTGTTGGCCCCAGACCAACAGGTCAGTAAAATATCAGGAAATGTTTTACTAGTAAGAACGGGCAAGTAAAATGATTGCTCTTTCATTAACATTTGATGAGAAAATCATAAAGCAATTGGAAAGCGATTCTGCGGTTTATAAACAACATTTTTTTGAAAGATGAACAGTCGTATTTTCAAGAGGCGATAACATATTATCTTACTTCGCTTTTTTAATCATAATACGATAAAACTGCTTTGCATCTCTGTATCATCCCACCAATAAGGTGCATTCAGTCTTTAGGATTATTTAAAAGAAAAAAAAATGCTATCAGAACAAGGCTTTAGCAATCCCCCAAGACATTTGGGCTCTTCTTCTACACACAGTGCACTCTAGAATTACATTTAAATGAAGCGTAATCATGCTGGCCTTGAGATTTATTGCACGTGATTGACATTGGACGACAGGACTCGGGACTCTGTCTTATGAAGAGATGCAACAGGCCATTTTTCGTAATGTAATCAAATTAAAAGCACAAATCTTTGTTAAGTGCCTCTCAATTTACAAATGATTTCTTTCCACATGTTACAGGTAATTGTATTTTAATAGTCAGAATGCGAATTGCATAGATTTAGATTAGGCGTTATTACATGTAGGTAGAACAAGCCATAATATTTGTCCAAACTAGCAACAATTAAAATAGGCAATTAGCATTCTGACTATTTAAATAGAATTATTCATGACAGGTGAATGAAATCATTTGTAATGAGGCAATTAACAAAGGTAAGTGCATTTAATTTGAATACATTTCGAAAATGGTCTGTTGATCTGAATAAAATGAATTTCCAATTAATCACAATTTGCGAGCAAAATTAATGCAAAATCCAATCAATTAAAGGATTCAAATATCACTCAGAACTGTTCATAAGACAGGCCCAGTAAAAAAAAATTGATTTATATGGACAATAACAAATAAACACACAAACACAATTCAATCATTAGTACATAGCCACACACAATGAATTGAATTATGGCTGATAATTTATCACATGCCGTGTAATGCAGGAAGGCAAATTTCAATATAAAAGTACAAATGCAAAAATATATACAGACTATGATGCAATAATGATTATACCTTCTATTGAACTGATAATATTCCTATGTACAGTATAGCAATCTCCATTGCAAATTCACATATCAATCATTTATATAATAATAATAATAATAATAATATTCTGCGTTTACATGGCGCTTACATCGACGATGTCCCTAAGCGCTTTACAGATTTATTTTTTACAACATTACTCGTAATACCACAACCTCAATGTTTTGAATTTATACTAGTAATTAGATTTGCACTTTTGTGCAGATCAAGGATATAAGATTTGTGTGTATCAATCTTGATACTTACATGTACCTACACTGTCCTACAGGCTTGTACTTGCTTTCATAAAGCACACTTCGGGGAAACAGATCAATATGTTGAAATGCTCTGAATCAGAATGGTTATAAAAATCATCATTCAGAGCATTTCAAAACATGAATAACTAGCACAATGAATACAGCTCAAGATAAAGCTTCACTTCAATCTCCATCTGATTGCAAGCAAGCGATGTTATCCAAAATTTCTTAAAATATTGATTGCAGACCGACTTTATCAAATTCAAAGGAAAGACAGTGTAGACTAAATTCAAATTACGCACTATAAATGTACATGTAGCGCTTTACTGCAATCCTTTTCTAATCCTTCACTGAGATATTCACAAGATTACTATCTATTCAACACTTGGCAGAGATATTTTCTGTTTGATTATTTCAGGCATATACACAAATACATCATTGAATTGAATAAAGAATCAAAAGATATACCCATATCTTTAAGCTCTGTTCAAGTAAATACATCGGCCTGGGCTGTATCTGTAATGTTGAATGTCTAGCATCTGCCACCATGTTGATTACGGAATGAATACTTTACAATTTTCAGTACAGCTAATTAGCAGATGAACAATTAATGCGGCCGTGATCTGGCAAAACAACGCATGTCATTTTTTTACCTTTTTTCATCTGTCAAAATTTCAGTTTCCAAATCGATTTAAATTTTAAGAAAATTACATTTAAAGTTAAGCAATTTTCCCATTTTTATCCAAATAATCTGGCGGAACAACTATGTCGACTTACGTTGTTTTGCCAAAATATTCACGTCCCGGTTAGAGATACATTGTTTTGCCAGATTAACAACATCTCATGATAGCTTCCAGGTGTTCTGGCAGAGTGATATGGCAGAACAACGTATCTTCGTATCTTATTCTGTTACTGTACACAGCTGCCGTGCGGCTGTGCTTGACAATGTGTGCAAGGTATAGGGAGTGCGCACTCTCGATCGTCTTCTTATTCAACTATG